TGCTGTTTTCCTACAGACATAGGAGAGGCAGGCTTCCATTGAAATCAGGTGATTGTTTCCCAAAGCACCATTTTACCAGGTCACACAGATATCTAGTGGTGGGGGCTCTCCTTTCCTTCTGGAGGATGCCAGAACAGAAAAGAAAGATTCTATTTGCTGTTTGGGAAGTGCACCATTGTCACTGACTGATTTCCCCCCAGTGGTAGGAAGCCGTTGGTTTGATCACATCAGAGGCTGGTATGAGCACAGACATGACTTCAATATTCTGTTCATGATGTATGAGGAAATGAAAAAGGTAAGAGGCAAAGGTTATTTTTAACAATTATTTCTTTGAACCCCTTTTAATTTTGGTTTTAATGAAACACATTTTCCTAGTTTTCTTGGGACCTACCTATTTCTCATGCTTTTTCAGGGATTTCTAATTGCCTGCTCCTCCCTTAATTATTGGCTTCCTCAGGGCTCTCCTCTCACTGTACACAGTCATCGCCTGTGGTTCCTTTCCATGCCCCCAGCTGTGTCAATAAGGCAAACTCACAAGACTAGTGATTGCAAAAAGGGCAAAGGCACTTGGAAATGCTGGGGCCAGCCCTGGTCGGTGTGACCAGTTGGTTAGGTGTCTTCCTGTGCACTGAAGGGTTGCTTATTCTATTCCCAGGCAGGAATATAGCAAATGATAGGATTAGTATCTTTAGAATGTAATTCCCTCTAATGAATTTAAAAGTGATAATAATGGAGGAGGGGGGCAATGGTAAGATATTTACACAGATAATTTAATTTTAAAAATTAAAAAATAAAATAAAAGTGATAATAGTAAAAACAGGCAAACTAGTTAGAGACCAATTTGCTAAACCACTGTTCATTGTTAGTGTAAATAAATGCAAATGATTTGGGGAATGCTGGTTTTGTATCCTACCTACAACTTCGCTGAGTTTGATTAATAGTTCCAACAGGGATTTTTTTTTTTTTTTTTTTTGTAGATCTTTAGTGTTTTCTACATATATAATAATGTCATATGTGAACATATAACTTTATATCTTTCTTTAAATTTGGATGCCTTTTTCTTGTCTGTTTACTCTGGCTAGGACTTCCAGTATTAGACTGAATGTAAATAGTGAGAACTATCATCCTTGCCTTGATCCTGATCTTTTGTTGTTGTTGTAGTTGTTAATCCTCACCGAAAGATATTTTTCCATTGGCTTTTAGGGAGAGTGAAAGACAGAGAAAGGGAAAGACAGAGAGAAATATTGATGTGAGAAATATTGATTGGTTATCTACTGCATGTCCCCAGACCAGGGCTGGGGCTCTGGGAGGGTCCTGTAATCATGGTACATGCCCTAGACTGGAATCAAACCCTGGACCTTTCAGTCTGTAGGCTGAGGCTGTCTCCACTGAGCCAAACCAACTAGGGCTGTTCATCTTTGCATTCCAGGAGTAAATCACACTGTTCGTAGTGGATAGTCCTTTTAATACATTACTGAATTTGTTTTGCTAGTAATTTCTTGTGGGTTTTGTATTGGTTTTTATTTTTATTTTCTTGTAGTGTTCTCATTTGGCTTTGGTATCAGGGTGATGCTGGTCTTATAGAATGAGTTGGGAGTATTTCCTCCTCTTTGATTTTTTTTTTTTTTTTTTTTGAAGAGCTTGAGGATTGGTGTTAATTCTTCTTTAATTTGTGTTTGGTAGAAATAACCAGTGAAGCCACCAAACTTGGACTTTCCTTTTTTGTAGCCATTGTATTTCATTCCTTGCTTTACTCTTTCTCTCATGAAACTGTAAACTCTTAACAAGCATGAATAAGCATATCATTGTTCCCTTAAACTTCTCCAGCACTTATCACAGTTTCTGAAACATAGGATTCCTAAAAGTACTAGTTGAATGAGTGAATGGGTGAATGAAGGTGAGCTGTCCTTATAAAATCAAACAGTAGAAAGCTCTAACAGAGCTGACAACCAGAGCACTCATTTTCATAGAAGGAATAAGAAAGTAATATATCTTTGTCAAAATTTAGACTTAGAAGTCCAATCAACTTCATTTTTTCAAAATGTGATCAAGATGTTGGGATGTAACTCATGCATTCTTTGTAAGCTGAATAGTTTCTCATACCCACAATTCTTTCAGGATCTCAGAAGTTCTGTGCTTAAAATCAGCCGTTTTCTTGAGAAAGAACTGAGTGAAGCGGATGTGGAAGCTATTGTGAAACAGGCTACATTTCAGAACATGAAGTCTGATCCAAAAGCAAATTATGAAAATATTATAAAACATGAAATTGGGACAAGAACAGATGAGGGACATTTTCTGCGCAAAGGTGATGCTCAAGGGGTTTTAGAAGCAAAAGTGTTGAGAGTTCCGTGATTGGTTGGTCCCTACACTAATTAAGGGGTGTTTACCAAGTCTTTCCAAGTACTGCCATTGGGACCTGGAGAGAATCAAAGACCTTAACTGCAAATGGCCCTGAAAAGTATCCCAGGATACTAAACAACTTTGTAGTACATAGTCTAACCTAATTAATCAATATTACATTCCTTCCTTTTAGCCTACATGTCCCTACTCTTTAAAATTGGTTAGCAAGTCTTACCTGAAGATGTATAAATGAGACCAGAACAGCTCCAATTATTGGTTTCCTTTATTTCTCTTAGAACATTCTAGAAGTAAACCCAACAGGTATTTTGTTGTGGGAATGGGAATTTGAGTTAATAGTTATTTCCTCATGTATCAGATTTCTTCAGTGTAAAAAGTAGTTTAATACTTCATGAAACCAATATGCTATGAATTCAAGTATTCAATAACAGCATGCAATTAATTTTTAAAAAATATACTTTATTGCCGAAACCGGTTTGGCTCAGTGGATAGAGCGTCGGCCTGTGGACTGAAAGGTCCCGGGTTCGATTCCGGTCAAGGGCATGTACCTTGGTTGCGGGCACATCCCCAGTAGGGGGTGTGCAAGAGGCAGCTGATCGATGACTCTCTCTCATCGATGTTTCTAACTCTCTATCTCTCTCCCTTCCTCTCTGTATAAAATCAATAAAATATATTTAGAAAAGAAAAAAAAAATATATATATATACTTTATTGATTTTTTACAGAGAGTAAGGGAGAGAGATAGAGAGTTAGAAACATCAATGAGAGAGAAACACTGATCAGCTGCCTCTTGCATATCTCCCACTGGGGATGTGCCCTTGACCAGAATCGAACCTGGAACTTTTCAGTCCACAGGCCAACGCTCTATCCACTGAGCCAAACTGGTTTTGGCTGCAATTAATTTTTATTGTGCTTCTATGACATGTCAGGAATTAAAAATCAATATGTCTTCCCCCTGGTACTTCTTAATTTCAATTAGATTTTTTTTGATCTCTTAATGTATATTTTTCTAGAACATGATTTGTACTTTTTTAATTCATATTTTATCCACTAATTTATCCATAACTCAGCATTTTGATGATGGATATTTATTATTAATTAATGAAGATCTTGAAATTGCTCTTGACGTTGCTATTTTTTTTAAAAGTGTTTCTTTTTGTCCCATTTATTTTAAGCTTGTAAGTCTCATTGCTTAACTAGATCGAATACAAAGTAATTCTCATGCCCATAAATAGTTTGCTATCTGTTCCAAATGCCAATAATAATGTTGAAATAAGAAAATTTGATAGTGGAAAATGTCCAATAATCTTCATTAAAAATTGGCTTAATGACAGTTTCTAACTTCCATCAAGTAAAGCTGAAGCAATGACAGCTCTGAACACCCTCTGTGACCTTGATTTCATTACTTGAAAATCTTTGGGTTTCTTTTTTTTTTTTTTTTTTAAGTTTTAAAGTATGTTTTTATTGATATCACAGATGAAGGGAGAGATAGAAACATCAATGATGAGAGAGAATCATTGGTTGGTTTCCTCCTGCACACCTCACACTGGGGAGTCAGCCCACATATGACCTGACCAGGAATCAAATTGTGACCTCTTGGTTTATACGTGGACACTCAGCCACTGAGCCCTGCTGGTCAGGCCCCCTTTTCAATTTTATTTATTTTATCTTTATCTTTTTATTTTTTTATTTTTACTTTTTAAATTATAGTAAATATAAGATTATTTTATATTAGTTTCAGCTATGCAGCATAGCAGTTAGACATTTATATAATTTATGAAGTGATCCCCCAATAATTAGAGTACCCACTTGGCACCATCCATAGTTGTTACAACATTATTGACCGTATTCCCTATATTGTATTTTACATCCCATGAGTATTTTGTAATTACCAGGCTATCCTTCTTAATCCCTTCAGTTTTTTCAATTTTAAAAATGAAGAAATGCTGATATTGTGGAGTTGTGTTATAAATTATATTAGATGACAGATATAGTTTGTCAAGTATGGTGCCCGGCACTTATTTTTTATTTATTTTTAGATATATATTTTCTCTTTATTTTATTCTTTCCCCATTCTCATTTATCTCCCGTATCCCATCTTCCACCTCGAGCCATCTCTCTCCCTCACACAATCACCACACTGTTGTCTATGTCCATGAGTTCTTTCTGTTTTTTTCCCTCCATCTCTGCACCCCACACTCCAAGTAGTTAACCCATACCAGAGTTGTCTGATTGCTCTCTAGGAATTTATTTTGCTTGTTAGTTCAGTTTGTTCATTAAATTCCACATATGAGTGAATTGACATGGTACTTGTATTTCTTTGGTGCCTGGTATTCAGTAAAATATATGAAAAATCTCTAACCTAATCATCTATTTTACTCTTGTTATACCATCTCAATAAAGGCTATAATTGAATGGTAGTGGTTGATGAAAGCATACTAGCTGAAGATAGTGAACTTTATAAGTGTTTTTAAGTTTGTTTCTTAGTTTATTTCTGTATAAGGAAACATGAAGTATCAAACCCATGGAGAACTAACAGATACTTAGCGAGGATGGCAGAGGAGATTGAAGTGAATGGAAAGAAACTCTTGCCCTGATAGTGCCACTTACTCACTCGGGTGCCCATCGTGTGCTCATTTCTAGGTACCGTTGGAGACTGGAAACATAACTTCACAGTGGAGCAAAATGAAAGATTTGACAAAATATTCCAAAAGAACATGAAAGATTTGCCTTTGAAGTTCATCTGGGATTTAAATGAGGAGTAAAGTCATGTAAAAGAATTCTAAAAAAATCTACTAACTAGAGAGGCTATTTTAATATACACATTAATTTGTGCTTCTATTACAAATGTTAATTATAAAACTTTACTAATGAAAAATGAGTAAACTGTGCTTAGATTAGTGGCCAGGAGTTTGATAAACACTTTGAAATTTCAAAAATTAAAATGATTTAGGAGATAATCTGCGTTGATATCCTGTATTATAAATTGAAAAACAGGAGGCATGTCTTACAATTAAGTTTAGTACTAATGAAACATTAAAATGTATTTTATTATTGTAATTAAATATTAGTTCTTTGATTTAAAATAATTGTGAATGTTGAAATAGAAAACTCTTATGAAAGCACATGGATCTATTTAATATTTTAACAGGTCACTAAAATTTCTTTTAATATATTGATTTTGAGAGAGAGACAAAGAGAGAGAGAGAAACATGGATTTGTTGTTCTACTTTTTTTATGCATTCATTTGTTGATTCTTGTATGTGCACTGATGGAGATCTCACCCACAGCCTTCGCGTATCGGGAGACTTTTGAGAGATGTTTGGGAGAAGAGACTGCACATTATAAAATACTGTATTAATAAAGTAATATTATAATTTAAATTCAAATACTTGTAGGGAGAATTATCTTGTTCTATTTTTACATTTTGTAGTAAAGTTATCTAACAAACATTGGGTTTACTAAAAGCAACGGGCTCACTGCTAGGCTCTTTGTAGGTAAGAAAACTTTGAAGAAATACAGTTACTTCCACAGAGAAGTTTATATTCTGGTTTGGATAGCAAGGTAATACCAAATACAAAAGAATACATTTACAACATAGAACTCGCTGGTTGAATTTAAAACACACACCTAAATTAGGTTAAATTTAATTAAGTGGCATAATGACTATAGTTAGGTGATACATTTTAAGATGAATTGTGTTCTACTAAAAAGTGTTAACCTAAAAAAACATTCAAACTTGTAAAGAAATTTTTGTGAGTTTATTTGAGCCAACTGTCAACATTTGCCAGGAAGCAGAACCTCAACAAAGTGAGATAATGCAGGGTCATCTCTATTTTTATACATTGCAATCAATGGAGGGACAGGTGGGTTACATGAAATCCATTGGTGATAGACTAGAGAGGCAGGAGAAAGCAAAACAGGAAAACCTAGGATTGTAGGAAAGGTAAAATGCTAGTCACATACTTAGGTGGACGCAGGAACAACGAACATGATAACAATGATGAATTTGTGGTATCTGTCTTGATGCCCAGGCACATTAGTTGTGCCCCAAAGGGGTCTGGAAAAAGGGAAGTTACAAGTTACCCAGACATTTCAAGGGTATGCTATCATAGATTCAAAAAGACAGATAGGGTCAGTTCAGGTAAAGGTTGACCTTGTTAGTGAAGATACTGGCCTAGGACGTAACTATGCACCACAACTTCTTTTAGTTAAAGTTTAATTTCAGACCATCCTTTGTGGTGACTTTAGGTCTCTGAGTTTGCAAGATCGCCATACAGGCCTTCCCTGATCTGGTCAAATCAGCATATGCCTCTTTCGTCCACAGAAGGAACAGATTAGTACGAAGTAATCAGCACAGAAAAGGGAAAGATCATACATTTATTTGGTGAAGAATCAGGAAGCAGAGGCTGTAGCTCAGCTCCAAACTCTAATAGGTGTTGAGAGAGAATATAGAGGTTTCCAATCAACCTGCCATTGAGTAGAAACCCCTTCTGCAATAGCCTGACAGAAGACCACACTGATTCTGAACTAGCCCTAGTATTGCAAAGGGCACTCCCCGAAAGGCATCCAGTTCAATGTCCAGGTGGTACAACTTGCAGGAGAGCTGTTATCTATACAACGAGCCTCGAAGTTTCATGGAGGGCAACTGCTATAAGCAAGGCAGCTTGCATACTTAATTCAGTAAGCATTCACAGTCTTACACAGTGCATGTTATAATGTCCATTTTACAGAAGGAAGTAACGAAATAGCAATTTTTAGGGGTGAAATAGGCAGGTTTAGGGCATTTTTAATATTAAGGGGACCCACGGAAAAAACATAGGGCTACAGAGTTGCAAAAGGTTACATTTCCATGAGACAGGGGAGTTGGAAGAGGCAGCAGTTACACTTCCATAAGACAAGAGAACTGGGAGTAGCTAAATGTCCATATTTACAAAATGAAGAAGGAGGAAGACAGCCCAGAGGGAATAGGAGAACAGTGAGGGAGGAGGGCCTCACAGTCCCAGGTAAGGTTTGACCTTTGAGCTCAGGAGTTTCTACAGTAACTCAATCAAAGAGGAATACCCACCAATCAGAGGGGATATGGAGGCACAAAAAATAATAAATAAATAAATAAATAAATAACACAAAAAACCTGCAGCCTTTATAAACCGTGGAAAAAGGAACTAGGTGGGACTCTTTCCCCCTCCCCACTGGGAGTCTGTGCTTGTTCTTCACTTCCCGCCTTTGCTATCCCATCTTCCGCCTGTGGTTTCATTCTTGGACTCGGATGGACAAAGAGCCCCAGGAAACCACCCTGTCCAGGGAAACATGACCTGTTCCAGTCCCCAAATCCCGGACCAGAAGCAGAGCCAGGATCTCACTCAGGTTTGCTTCCACTGGAGGCTGATCAGATTAGCTACAGGTGCTTCACGTTAGAGTAATGGAAGAGAATTTAGACCAGAAGATGTGATTATGAACTTTCAGAGGAAATGGAAATCTTATGAAATGGAATGAAATTTAATAAATCCAATCTAATCTATTCCATCTAAATTTAACCATCAAAAAGTCTGGGAATTAACTAGAAGCGGGCTAAGAATGTAACAAATAGGACCGATAGGCCATCAAACTAAAGGATTGCATGATAAAAGAGGGATCCCATAAAAAACAAGCTGTCTCCAGAAGCAGTAATCAACTCTCAAACCTCAGAGGGAAGGTAGGGGAGGGTGGGCGTAAGGGGCAGAGATCAACCAAAGGACTTGTGTGCATGCATATGGGCCTAGCCAGTGGTTACAGACAACAGGGGGGTGGAGGCATACGTGGGGAAGGGTCTGGGATGGGAAGGGGGGATGAGGACAATTACATGATACCATAATCAATAAATCTATTTTAAAAATCATAAAAAAATAAATGAATGGCATTGGACAGGACTCTAAAACAACAAAACAAAACAAAACAAAAACAAGCTATCTCCCATCAGGAGTTATGAGGGGTGGGGGGAAGGAGTAGGAGAATGAGATGCTGAGACAATCCCCTGCGGGGTCCCAGAGCCGTTGGGGGAGAGGTAGGGGTGTGTGTCAGCTCGGACCCGGACACCCCTGCCCGCTGTGCGGCTGCGGGCTCCCACCCGCTCTGTGGGCCATGGTGCCCGCTCGCCCCAACGTGCCTGCTGCTGGGACCCCCAGAAGTAAAGTGAAATACTCAGCGCTCCCCAGCTCTGAGGGTGGGCGCATGGACCCTCAGGAGAAAACACCACAGGCTGAAGGTTGCTGTCCATCCCAAAGATGCCCAGGTGCGGCGGGACCGCGCTGGATGGAGTTGCAGGAAAGCCCTGCCAAGACCCCTTACAGGGCGCTGGCCTGCTTCACGCTGCAGTTTCTGGTGGGCGCTTTCCTGGCCACCGCCGGCTGCCTCAGCCCCGTAGGGCCCCGCCGGGCCCGTGGCCGTGCTGATCGTGGGCATCCTGGTGCTGCTGCCCGGGTCCTACCACCTGCTCTTCGCTTGCAAAGCGAAGAGGCTGCCAGGGCTACTCCTTCCAGGACCTTCCCGACTGCGGGGACGAGCGGAGCTGGAATCCATGGCGAAGGATTGAGGAGTTCTCTCATTTTGCAGCTGCTGGCAGAAAGATGGCCAGATTTTGTAAATCCCTACCCAGAATGTTCATTGAACTTACAATGAGACAAGCAGGAGGCCAGGGCGTGCTCTGTTTTTATTTTCCTGGCCCTGGCTAACACCCCCGATAGATGTGTCCACGTGGATATGAATAACGGAAGACGAGCAATCTTAGTTTTATGGGAAAGTAAGAAGTTGTACTGTGGGACAAAACGTTGTCTCCATCACCCTATTGAGAGCTGAGCATATCTTTTAAAGGGTCCTTATTAATATTTGGAAAAGTCCGGTATATCTAATTTCCGATTACTGAGTAATTTATTTGGAAAATGTCTGAGTACCTTATGCCTCACACTTATCTCTAACTTGCATTCTGGATGATCTTGATAAAAATCACCTATCAACTTAGGAAAAATAAAAAGAGCACTGCAGTTGTGTTGTGTGGAGGCCTCATGAGCTTTAAGACAGAATTGGCTTTAAATCCAGGTGCAAACTTTCTAGCAGTATAAGCTTATACAAGTACCTTAGCACTCTGACACAGAGTTTGGGACCATAATTTCTAGTGTTTGGGGTTTCAGTAGGGGTCAAAGTATTTTCTATTAACCACCTGGCACATAGATGGTCCCCAAAATGTTAATTTCTCACTGTGAAAGAGGCTTCTGCAGAAGACTGCACCCAAAATTGACTAAAGCCACAGTAAATGTATCTACTCACTGAAAGTTAACAAAACCCAAGAGAACTACAGTAGACTGTTCATTTGTAATGTTATAATCTCAGGTCAAATCAGGACACTGGGTTGTTTTTTATTTGTATGAATTATAATGTGCTTCTCTCACCCAGTTGAGTATAAGGGGAGATAAATAATATATTCTTCCACGAAGTTAGAAGATATGACCAACATGCTGCTAATTGGAAATCATATCAATGTAATGTCAAATATCAACATATTTGGCCCATTTGCGGTGGTGATTACTATACATTGCCAGAATTGTGGTGGTGATTACTATACATTTTCCTTTTCCTTTTGAGTCTTATACAGAAATAGGACAGAAGCTTATATAATTTGAAGGGATCTCATAAGAAAAGGAATACAAAATGTAGCACAGGGCATGGCAATGGGTCTGTCCAAGGGCAGGGCACTAAAGCTTAAGTCTCACTAGTTTCGTGGTAAATCTGGCTGTGATAGAGTGAAGAAAGAATCTAGAGAAAAGGACTGGCAATGGAATATGTCTACAGTTAAGGTCATAGCTCCAAATTAAAGGTTACAATTGATAAAACAGTAGTGTTTTCTAGAATAAAAGATAGCATCCCATAAAAAGAAATACTTTCTGAAGTGTTGTAAATAAAAACATAGACAGGTTTGTAGAAGATAAAGAAAAGAAGGTATCTTCTGAAAAAGAATGTTGGCAATTCCTAAAAAAGAAGAAAGATACTCTCAAGTATGTTATGCTTAGGATGATTTTAAAAAAATAGGAAGATAAAAAAGAATTTGGTGGTCTTCCATCAGTGTTATGTTATGTACCCAGACTATCTATGAATGGGGGAAAAGTGATAAATGTCTCATTATTAGTTTTCGATCCATCAAACTGTAGTAAAGAACTAGGGATAATATGAGCTGTACCATGTTTGGGCTCTGATATCATCTTCATATCCTCCTTCTTATAAGAAACCTCATAATACATGGAAAAGTAACTTCATAATACATGGAAAAGTAAAAGTCCACCACATCATTAATGTGAATAATTAGTATTAAAAGTGACTCGGTCATATAAAAAAAAGCGACTTTTTAATATACAGAAGAGTTAATCTGTGTAATGTTAGTTAAGGAAGGTCAATTCAGCAATCAAAGATCCAAATAAGGTCAATAGTGTAAACTTTAGTCCAAAAGTGAATCTTAGCACAAAGACAAAGATATCAGAGCATTATCATATATAGAAGATATTAAAAACCCAAGCGTTGTTTTAATTCCAGACATGGAATACATAGTGTGTATGCTAACTTTACATTTTTAGTTAACCAGGTCACATATCTCTCAACTCTTATTGAATCATCAATTATATATATTTTGCTTTATTTTTTATATTCAAAGTTGAGACCAATTTGCTAGAGCATCCTTTTCAAACAATTAGGTTTCCAAACAGTGCCTGGCAGTTGTCAAATCACAGTTGATGGGCTCACCAAGGCAAGTCACAGGAAATCCCGGGAGAGAGAGGAGACTTCAGCAAAACCCGTCTATAGAGAGAAGACTATTTCAAAGACCATTGTGATACCTTGATGAGAAAACTTCTGACTTTCCGATCTTCCAAGAGTGTAGGTGACCATGTCATATTTTGGTCCAGGGTCTTCCTTTATGTTTTTAAAAGTAGCCTGTTTCACTATGGATTCCACACCCTCATTAGTCAGCCGCATTTCAAGAAACTTGCTGATTTTTAGTAGAGTGCTTCTAGGATTCCCAAGTGGTTCAAGTTGATCACAGATGAACCCCAGGATGAAGAGAGGACAAGGTACGTACCAACATAAAGGCCCAAAGTGTGACAAGTGTGTGAATAAGGACCCTGTCAGGCAGGTACTGCTCAAAGATACATGAGTGTTTCTATCTATAGTTTAAACAACTTGGGGAAGATGTTCAGGAATCAAGTAGAAACCTGAGACAAAACTCTTTTCACTACATACTCCATTCATTCTTGCCTACCACTGGGTTCCTGAGGCCTCCCCTGACTACCCTGTTTAATAATGTAACCTCCCCAGTACCCCTCCGACATTTCCTCCAACTGCTTTCTACACTACTTTTTTATTTCTAGAACATTTATTATCTTTCAATACATGAAACAATGTGATTATGTACTATACTCATTGTTTAGTGTCTGTCTTTCCCCACTAGTATTGTAGTTCTAGGAAAACAGGAATTAAAAAAAAAAATCTATTTTGTTCAGTGCTTAAAATGGTACCCAGAATGTAACAGTCATGGTAAATTTGTGGATGAAAGAATAAATAAATTATTGCCTAGCTTAAAGGGAAAAGTGAAAGCCGGAGAGTAAATCTATGTACTTAAAAAAAAAAAAAAAAGAAAGAAAGAAAGACTCATGGACACAGACAATAGTATGGTGATTGCCAGAGGGAGGGGGGAGGTAGAAGGTAAAGGGGGAATAAATGATAATGGAAGGAGACTTGACTTGGGGTGGTGAACACACATACAATATTCAGATGATGTATGATAGAACTGTATACCTGAAACCTGTATAATTTTATCAACCAATGCCACCCCAATAAATTCAATAAAAATAAAACAAAATAGAGGACTTTCTAATAATTTCACTCATTGATAATCTAAAAAAATTTCTATCTAAAAAGTCATTAGGTAAGTATATTTTAAAAGTATGTTCTCAGTCAGTCTCAAATAGTTATATACTATGTGATTACATTTATTTAACATTCTTAAAATAAAATTGAAGAGATGGAGAACAGATTACTAGTTGCCAGAATTGTGGTGGTGTTTATTATACATGTGATAAAATTGCATTAAACTACACACACACATACACACACACACACACACACACGTGCTTATAAAACTGGCAAAGTCTGAATAAGCTCTGGAAACTGTACCAATGTCAACTTCCTGATAGGGATTATGTATTGTAGTTACCCAAAATGTTATCTTGAGGAAGGAGAGGGAGAGAGAAACATCAATGATGAGAGAGAATTATCTGTTGGCTGCCTCCTACTGGGGATTGAGCCTGGAACCCAGGCATGTGTCCTGACTGGGAATTGAACCATGAACTCCTGTTTCATAGGTCAATGCTCAACCACTGAACCACACTGGCTGGGCTAGTGCAAGGATTTTTAAGAATATTCTCAATTCCCCTCTTTTGTCTCTTATTACATTACTGTCATCATTTAACTTGTCTGTAAGATATATTCATCCAATACATTGTAATTCTAGTTTATCTTTTGTTTTTTGAAGAATTTTAAGAGTTCTAATCTGGGCAATATGACTTCAGCAGACATAACATGCAACATCTTGCCTGTATGCACCCATGTGTATTTTGGGTAAAGGTCCACAGCTTTTATGAATTATTAAAGGGTTCTGTGCTTCTCATACTCAGTTGGGTGTGAGGGGAGATAAATAGTATATTCTTCTATGAAGTTAGAATTTATGACCAACATGCTGCTAATTGGAAATCATATCAATGTAGTGTCAAACACCAAGTGTTAATTGGTTTATTTTTTTAAAACGAGATACAGTACAAATTAACATTAAAGTATTTAATTTATAGTGTATAGTCAATGCCAGATATGGTCCAATCCTGTGCACCTTCTTCATGTTGGAGATTGAATAACATGAGTTCATAGCCATAGTCATAACGTTAAATATTGCAAAATTATGAGTTTACATTTATATTCTAAATAAGAATTATACTATCAAATGTAGCTTTAAGGTTAATTTGGATTTCAGTTATTACAAAACAGGTTACCCATGAACGCTCTTATTTATAGAGGGTCACCTTCTGCATTGCCTTCTCCTTGAAGGTAACATCTGCCTATTCATCTGCAGATTCCATATGAGGGGGAAGAGCAAAAGTAGAATTTCTGTTTTTTCTCCAAAAAATTTCCTGGGCTTGGTTGTTTGGTTCGCACGATGAGACACCTTTGTCTTCTAAGTGTTAGTCTTGGGCTCTCCTGATCTGCACACTGGAGTCTCACGGTCACCTGCCCCTCAAGATTCTCTCTCTCTCTCTCTCTCTCTCTCTCTCTCTCTCTCTCTCTCTCTCTCTCTCTCTCTCTCACACACACACACACACACACACACACACACACACACACACACACACACACGCTCTGTAAAGCTCTGTAAATGCACTGTCCCTCTACTAAGGAACAACTCGCCCCCCTCTGTGCTCCTGGAACCAATCTGTCAGGTTTAAAGGAAATCCTCTGCGCTGGGTCGTGCCTCCCCCTCCAACGTGCTCAGGGACCAGTCTCGGGTTTCCAACCGCGACTGGGTCGACTGCAGGTCGGATTGGCTGAGCGAGGAAGAGGAGCAGAGGCTCCGCCAAATCACAGATCGAGGATTTCCACCTTCCTTGATCCATTCCCCAGAATCATGGCAACAGGTGCGCTCCATTGCTTCCCCCGCCCCCCCAGGAACCCCGCCCGGGGTTGCTATGGAGACAGGACGCTGCATCTTGCAGAGCCAGCAGGACTCAGAAATCGCTCCGCAGACCTCAGCAAAGCGACGGTCCTGTGCTGACTCCTTCCACATCCGCACAGTCCCTTTCAGCCAGAAGTTATTTGTTTGTTTGTTTGTTTCTTGATTCCTTCTATGGAAGACTCCACTGCCCTGGAGCAAGAAAAAGAAAACCAGGATTCTGGGGAAGAAGGGAGGCCATGGGACGGCATGACAGCAGCTTCTGCCCAAGATCCTCTGCCTGGATTGTCTGAATCCCCGGAGTCAGAGCAGGGGCCTGACCCTGGACCCCAGCCCGGGAGCAGCCCACCGGAGAGCCCGGCCCGGAGCAGCCCACCCCGGAGCCCACCTGGGGGAGACCTCGCGGGCCCAGGTGCACCTCCGCCTCCGCCTCCTCCGGAGCCCTCCTCCCCTCCTCCGGCTCTGGCGGGACCGCACCTCGCTGCACCAGGGCAGTCAGACAAGACCTCCAGTGGGATTCCAGAAGCTGGGACATCTCGCCCTGAGCACTTGCAACAACAGTCATCTGATAAAGGAGCATCAACTCCTCATCAAACCTGCCCGTCCAAGGGGAACGCCTTTCAACAGTTTCAGCAAACCCAGGGGCACCTGTATGAGCCCAGGGACGCGAACGGGGACACCTCTAAACAAGGCCTGCGGGCTGGCGTTTTTCAGGAGGACTCAGAGAGCAAACACCATCTGGATGGGGCTGAGCCCGAGCTTCACCCTGAGCCCGAAGCGGCCCCCAGCATGCTGGAGATTGCCGTTCAGAGTGCCAAGGCTTACCTACTGAAGACCAGCAGCGCGTCAGGCTTAAATCTGTAAGTCCTGGAGAGAAAAAGAGAGATAGGTATTGCCAAGTAAAGGGGGCGTGAGTATCTCTGGGTGGCAGTGTGTTTCTACGGGGAAATGTATTTGAAGAGTCTGTATTAGTATGAGTTAGTGGCTTCATAACTCTTTGCACCCCAGGGCTCAATCAAAATAGGTCATTGGTGGGGATTCTTCTAGCTTCTTCAAAGACACTTGGCATGGAGAAACAAAACCTAGGCACTGTGAAATCCTGGGTTTGAAAGAGACCAAAGAGATAGCGAAGACCCAGCGTCTCTTCAGAAGCTTGTAGAAGTAGCTTTCTGCCGTGATCGGGAGCACCTGGCCTACTGCAAGCACCTGAGTGCTCGCATGGCTTGGCTTTGAGTTATCACCAGGCCAGTCCTCAGTGACCAGTTATCTGTTTTTCTGGAACTATCCTGATGTGAGCGCTAAAAGCTCTGCTTCTTAAGAAACTCCCAGTCTGGGCAAACCGGGGGCCTCAGTCACCATAATTTTAAGGTCAAAAGAATAAAAAACGTTAATACTTAATGCGTGCAATCTTTCACAAAACTCAAATTGGCAATTTAAAATGTTATGTACAAATTACTGTCTTAAACTATAATTTGCTTAAGCTTTAGGGATGTGATCTGCTGCTCAGTAGTGGATTCTACTTGAATCTCTCACATAAACTGTCAGCATAATGCCCTGGGTTAAATAGCAAGCAGACTTGGTTAAAAGTCCAAAAGAGCTCATTCTACATACTCGAGATCTCACTAACTATTTAAAACCTAATACAAAAACACAAAAATGGGGAAGCTTCCTTTCTTGTTTTTTATTTGTTTGTTTGTTTGTTTATTTTTTATAGTGGCCATTGCTTAAGAATCTAACTTTTATTTCATTTTCAAATGCTCAGTCTCTCAAGGTAATAAATGAATATCTTAATATTCATTGTTTTCTTCTAAGCACTTGAGAGCCAGTCGTTAAAAACTCCTCCCTAAAAATAAAGTCCCTCTCCTGAATGCAGACCCTATTTGACCTAGATTGAGATAACAACAAACAAAAACAAAGCCCTAATTTTGACGATGTAAGAACCAAACGCAGTTGCTGAATGGGAAGTCTGTCATTTACACAAACACACAGCAGCGTATCTGTGATCTCAGAAAGGCCCCCCCTACACTGAGGAAGTATGGTTTTCAGGGCGACCTGAGGACAAAGTGGTTGCAAAAAATTTCTTGAAAGAAATGATACAAATGGCACACAGCAAGCAAAGGCTGTCTGGGAGGACTTAGCATTATATTGAAGTGATCTGCAGTAGATTTACCTCCCTGAGGCAGAAATTATCAATGAAGGAATTATTAGAAATGAAATTGCTTTTCTAAATGCTTAAGTGTCAGAGAGAAATTTTATGCAAGTTTCCTTATTCGTCAGAGGAGTTTCTATCTAACCTGAGAGCACATTGACAGACAATTCAGGTTTAAATTCACATTGTAAGTCTGGGATTTGAAAAGACACACTTTCACCATTTTGTATAAAATGTAATGAATTAATGGGAGCTTAGAGGCAGCTTCACTAATACAATTATGAAATAAAAAGCTAGGACAGTGTTTTTAATAGAAGAAAAATACTGTATTGGGTGTGTTACATTTTAACAAAGGTGAATAATATTTTATGACACTTCCCTTTCAGTTGCATTTGGGCAGGGGTTGCAATATGAAATGTATTTCTAATAGGTATACAGTACACTGAAGTAGATAATTGGCTTAGGAAATGAAACAGAAGAGAACATATCTTTTTAAGAAAGCAAATAGGATTTAAAAATCAAATTGGATTTGGTAAGGATGGGGAAAGGGATAGAAAAGAAGATAAGGTAAAAAAAACAAACAAAAGATCAGTTTAAAATATCTCAGAGATTTCTGTTGTGGGGTCAAACCTGGGTTCAAAATAAGATCACTGGAGGATGATGATTTCTTAAAAAAAAAAAAAAAAAAAGCAGGCAAGAATTTATTGAAATATCTGGCCAGGGCAGCCGCAAGAGCACCACACGCAGGCAGACTCTAAATGACTGCGAGGCTTTATGGGCAGGTAGTTCTTTTTAAAGGTTCTGAGAAGGAAAACCCCGTTCCAAACAACAAACTGTTGTTTGGAATTTTCTGTTGTTCTTCCCAGATAAAATGTTGCTTTCTAGTCTGCTTTAGCCCGTTTGAAGAATGATGAAGAGAAACGCTTCTTCAAATGCTTTTGATGTGGGTAATACCTACAATTTTCTCTTTTCGGATAGATATGACTATCTTTCTTATATACTTTTGACGTGGGTAATACCTGGGATTTTCTCTTTTCGGATAGATATGACCATCTTTCTAACATGCTGACCAGGATCTTAGATGAGCGCCCTGAAAATGCTGTGGACATCATTGAAAATATTAGCCAGGATGTGAAGATGGCACATTTTAGTAAAAAATTAGATACACTCCAGAACGAGAATGAGATGCTTCCCACATATGAAATAGCAGAGAAGCAAAAGGCTCTTTTTCTCCAGGGAAATTTGGAAGGAGCTGACCAAGAACTGGAAGACGAAATGGTAAGTCACTATTTTCCAGCGTATAAGACGACGACCCCCTAATTTTACAGTTAAAACATAGATTTAGGCCTATATTCGCTGTAAAAGACTACCCCCCACTTCAAAGAAAAGACTTCCTTTGCCATCAAGATCTGCAGGTAATTTTTTGTGCAATTTTGGTCTTTTGCCCCTGATTTTTGGTTAACTTTTTTTCTTTGCAAAAATCGTCTTATACGCCGAAAAATACGGGTACTGTAAATCGGAATAGTTCAATCCTAAGGTTTGATTTGAAGTGAGTGGGTGTGGCTTTAAATTCACATCAATAGTCTCTTCTGGCTCGCTAAATAGCATTTTCAACCTCATTTCACATCACTCATTTCCTTCTTTAGAGTTTATTTTTTTCACACTTGTGGTTTAGTATTTCACAGGCTTAGCTATTACATGTTTGTGGGGCTGAGATATTCATGTCAGAGAAAATGGTTTCTTCATCTTTTAAATTTTAAAGTGCCCGGTCCAGACCTGGGCCTACAGCTGTTTCTTATTAACTACTTGTTGAATGAGTGAATTACTGTGAGATCATTTAAAATTAGGCTTTATATCAATATGCATATTTCTCTTTTGTTTATTAGAAAAGTAGAAATACTTCTAATGTCATTTTCATTCTCTTCAAGGCAACTTCCTCATATTATGCTAATGAGCTATAATATAAGAGGAGAGAGATAAAATGTCTTTTAACCCCCAGAGACCAATTGTTGAAAATATTTACAGAGAACGTTTGTGACAGAGTTAAAACGCTATCATTAGAGAATAAAATCTGTTGTAACAAAGAAATTCTAGCTGCAAATATTTCAAAAGAGTATCCAGAATAGTGTTTCCTAAATGCCTACATGACTGTAATTTATACCACCAAGTCATTAATACACTTACTGAGCTTTCATGTCTTGTTACCACTAGACTATTTAAAAGCCTGTCTATATATTTGCAAATTAGATGTGTAGAGTGAGAGAATTTCAGAAAAGAGCAAAGAGTTTGATTAGGGAAAAGATAGGAAGGTTGAGAATCTGGACCCACAGGGCTTGGCAACCTTGGTGGCTCCCCAACTTGACACAGTGGGCCCAGGGTACCCAGAGGGAACAAGTGATAGGTGTTAATGAACTGACATTCGCTTTTCTTTCCTGAAAATATCTTACGCCAACCATTTAGTTCTATGGCCACATCCAGAGAAGACAAGTCTAGAGGCAAACATTATTTAGGGATCAAGCAGAAGGCAGATACTCTCATGGAGGGAGTTATCAAAGGTCAGACTCCAGTATAAGAATGGGACATTGGGGTATTTAGAGGCACAGCTCTGTCAATTAGGGATCTGCGTCCTAAATTAGGATAAGGAGTGAGAATACAGAAAGCTGTTTGATTCTAGAACCTGAGCCTCTTTTCAGATTCCATAAATTCTTCCTCAATAATGTCTTCAAATGTAGTCATGTTTGAGTACTTCTACATTCCTTTTATTTATCCTATATATTACTATATACACTGAGTGGCCTGATTATTATGATCTCTGAATGCATAATAATCTGGCCACTCAGGGTATATCCTATATAATAAAAGGCTAATATGAAAATTGTCCCCTTGACCAGGAGTACAACCAGCAGGCAGGCCACCCTCTCCCCCTGGCCAGGCTGGCTGGACTCTACCCATTCATGAATTCATGCACTGGGCCTTTAATATATAGAGATATCATAATAATCTGGCCATTCAATGTATATACATATATATATGTGTGTGTGTATTTTATAAACAATAAATAATTATTATATACATATGATAATATATGGAGTAAATAAAAATCAATATAGTACCATATGGTTTTTTAAAAAATTTACTCCATATATTATCATATGTATATAATAATTATTTATTGTTTATAAAATATATTTAGAGGCTCAGTGCACAAAATTTGTGTGTGGGGAGGGGTGTGTGTGTCCCTCAGCCCAGCCTTCACCCTCTCCAATTTGAGACTCTTCTCAAAATCCAGGACTACTGACTCTCAACTACTCACCTGCCTGCCAGCCTGATCGATACCTAACTGCTCCCCTGCTGGCCCAATTGCCCCTATCTACCCTCCCCTACTGACCTGGTTGCCTCCAATTGCCCTCTCCTGCACATCTGGTCCCCCCAACTGCCCTCCCCTGCAGGCCTGGTTCCCCTCCCCCTCCCCCAACAACCCTCCTTTGCAGGCCTGGTCCCTCCCAATACCCTCCCCTGCAGGCTATCTTGTGTTCACACAGGGGCAGCCATCTTGTGTTGGAGTGATGGTCAATTTGCATATTATTCTTTTATTAAATAGGATGGTAATATATAAAAACATATACAGTATACCTCAGAGATATTGTAGGTTTGGTTCCAGACCACTGCAATAAAGTGAATATTGCAATAAAGCAAATCACACAAATCTTCTGTTTTCTCTTTGCTCATAAAAGTTATGTTTACACTATACTATACTCTATTAAAAATACAATAGCATTATATCCAAAACACAATGTACAATAGTAACATCAAGAACCGCTGATCACCATCTATCCTATATAATTAAAGCATAGTATGCAAATTATCCCCTCGATCAGGAGTTGGTGTGGGAGTTGGACCAGGGGACAGAGCTGGCTGGGGGAAGTTTTCGAATTTCATTCACTGGGCCTCTAGAATATATATAAAAGGCTAATATGCTGTGTCTGACCAGTTGCTATGATGCGCACTGAACACGGGGCAGATGCTCAGTGTAGGAGCTGTGGTGACATGCACTGGCCATTTACAAAGAAATGTAACCACAGACCTGGTGCTCACAAAGCAATACTCGGCTTCCCCCAGGTGGGACACAGGCCCTGCACCACCCCCGAACAATAGCCCACCAAATCGCAGGTGATGCTGCCAAGACCCCATGGCACAAAATGTGAGCCCACAGCCCAGCCCAGCCCAGAGGTGGTGGCTGTGAGTGTGGGGTAATGATGTCACAAAGCAATGCTCTGCTTTCTCTCCCTAGTGACTAGCCTTCTTGCAGTTTCTTCAGTCCAGGAACATGACTTGCTTTATAGTCAGATGCAAACATTTAACCAAATGTCTGTGAAGCTTTTCCCTGTGCCTCATCCCATTTGATCCTCACTGAAGTCCTGGAGTAGGTAGATAGGAGACTCGGTGAATCCTATTGTCTTTTCATTAGCTGGAAAATGGAGATTTAGAAAGCTTAGAAACTTGGCCCAACTGAAAAGAAGAAATGATGGACCTTGAAAATGACTTAAGGTTTTGTCACTGCACAGAATATACTAAAACACTGCTGCAGTTAAATATTTACCCTTTATTCTCCCTGTGTGATTTACAGTAATAATTTGCTTTTTGTTAATATTAACTGCTGTGTTGTTGACAATTACCTTAAGTTGGAGTGCTTCACTGGGCTGGAAAGAGTTTAGCTAAATCAGAAAGCAGGTCTAATCTATATCTATAAAAGAATAAGTTGACTGGCACATGCGCGATACATATAAAGCTCTTGCTGGCACGAATCACATGCATTTTGATCTGTCATTGCCGATCGTGAATTTGGTTGACACTTCTATTATAGAGAAACGGTGAATAATGATATTAAAATATTTCTTCTAATTAATTTCCTTTCAATGTGCACAAATTTGTGTACCAGGCCACTAGTAAAAATATAATAATGAAAAAGTTTGAATATTGTTAGAATTACCAAAATATGACACAGAGACATGAACTGAGCAACAGCTGTTGATTAGTAAAATATGCGGTATCTGCAGAGCACAATAAAGCAAAGCACAATAAAATGAGATATACCTGTATAAATATATACATTTCCATATGTAAACATTTTCTAAAAACATGCGTGTAGATTGGTTATAGTATATTTTACTATTGCAAGAGAGTAAAGGGGCCACTTAAACATTTTTTTATAAACAGAGGATGTTGAATATTTATTTTTTTCATAATGATCATTAAATTTTCTCTGCCTAAGATATATACATGCAATAAGATTATTATAACGATGAGTGTAAAACACAATGGCAGAAGCTAATTTATATGTGAGATGAATGAAATTTGCAAATTAATGAAGTGATCTAAATCTTGAAAGACATGTCAAAGACATGGTGTAGACAGAGAGTAGAGCTGATATAAAATGTTTTAGAGGGAAACAGGAAGCAAGCAGGTCTCTTACAGATAACACGTTAACCACAGCATTTGTATTCCCAGGCAGAGCCCTCTCTCCCAAATGTGATGGAGTCAGCATTTTATTTCGAACAAGCTGGAATTGGTTTGGGCTCAGATGAGATTTATCGAATCTTTCTTGCCCTCAAGCAGCTTACGGACACCCACCCAATTCAAAGATGCCGTTTCTGGGGCAAGATCTTGGGTCGGGAGATGAATTACATTGTAGCTGAAGTGGAGTTTCACGAGGGAGAAGATGAAGAGGAGGTGGAAGAGGAAGACGTAACCGAAGAGAGGGACAATGGAGAGAGTGAAGGTGAAGAAGATGAGGAGGAAGAATTACCCAGGTCCCTTTACAAGGCTCCACAGCCCATACCAAGAGAAGAAAGCAGAACAGGTGCCAACAGATATGTTTATTTTGTTTGCAACGAGCCAGGAAGACCATGGGTGAAGTTGCCATCAGTTACACCTGCACAGATTGTTGCCGCAAGAAAAATCAAGAAGTTTTTCACTGGGCGATTGGATTCTCCCATCATAAGCTACCCACCTTTCCCAGGAAATGAGAGTAATTACCTGAGAGCACAGATTGCCAGAATTTCAGCAGGGACCCACGTCAGCCCTTTAGGATTCTATCAGTTTGGTGAAGAGGAAGGAGAGGAGGAGGAAGAAGTAGAAAGTGGGCGAGATAACTTTGAAGAAAACCCTGATTTTGAAGGCATTCAAGTGGTTGATCTAGTGGAATCCCTATCCAATTGGGTTCATCATGTACAACATATTCTCCCTCAGGTAGGGGCTTTGCAGTTCTTAATCTATCAGCCAATCAGCACATATTTATTAAATTCAGTTTATAATGCATACATGTATTCAGGCTCTAGACAAAGAGGCCATTAAAAATCAAGCAAAAGCACGGAGTACTTAATAATTGCCATGTGATATAGAACTGGGATCTTCAAACAGATTTTTATTTCCAAACAGAAATAAGATAATTATTTCTATAGAGTACTGGAACAAGTGTTTTAAGGATTAAGGCTTATGTATGTTGTGAAACTAATTTTGGGAACCGCTTTTTAGAAATTCTATTTTTATAATACATGGAGATTTTATGCTAAGAACAATAAAAAATATAATAAAAATAAAAACAAGCCAACAGTGCTAAATTGCAATTATATAGCATATATTCTGCTAGGTAGTCTTGATAGCTTTTTATATGCATTACCTCATTTCATAATCATAAAAATATCAGACAATAGTGAGGTGAAGACCTGGGGGTGGGGGTGGTGTGGCAGGGGTCAATAGGAATAAAAGGGGGACATCTGTAATACTTTCCACAATAAAGATAAATTTTAAAAAATAATATTATCCTTATTATACAGATGAGGAAATTGAGGCAGAATTTAGGAAATATAAAAGAGTATGGCTAATAAGCAACAGGGTCAGATATGAGTAAGCATAATAGATCCATAGTCTAGCCTTTTAATTACTCTGCTATACTACCTCATCTGCAGGTAGAAAATCTTTATACTTGGACCCACATATGAGATATTTTTATATCTATAGATAAGAGTTAATGAGATCAGAAATTATAACCCCAAACCTTCATACCTAATCTTATGTAATTTTTATTATTATACTATCTCTTTCTTATATGTTGTTTATTACAAATAAGTAAATGCACTATTGCTTTTTTTTTTTTAAACTAAGGCACTGCTAATTTTAAAATATATCTGTTCTGTAACTTCAAGTAGTTGGCAGAATCTTGAAATATATAGTACAATCTTTTGCTTGAAAAAAATCCTAGATCATAATAGCACTTGTTTAATGAATGAATGATTAAATTCCCACACAGTGAAACCTTATGCAGATACTTTCACCAATCCAAATGAATACTCTGGCATTTTAAGATCCTCATCTTGCAATATTCATACTCAGGGTCGCTGTAATTGGTTTAACCCCATACAAAAAAGGGAAGAGGAAGAGGAAGATGATGATGAAGAAAAAGAAGAAGAAGAAGAGCCTGACTACATAGAACAGGAAGTGGGGCCACCTCTCTTGACACCAATCTCTGAAGATTTAGGTAACTTTACAAAAACTTTGCTATTACTATGTATATTATACCATATACTCAAGGCCGATGCACGAAATTCGTGCAAGGGTAGGCCTTCCTTCCCCGGCACCTGGCACCCAGGCTTCCCTTTGGCTGCCGGCATATATACACATATGCTATATGTGTAATACTATATGTACATATACTATGTAACATTACCAGTATATATAGATAGTATTATACTAGAACATAGTATATATAATGTACTATACATTCTATATATAATATATGAGTATATATCCTATCTATACTAATAATGGCCTAGGTGGTTGTCATGCCCTGACGCTTTAATGACCTCACACCATCACAAGATGGCTGCGGGTGCAGTGGAGGCCTGTCCCAGCATCTCTGCCACCTCGCAAGGAGGAGGAGAGTCCTAGTGTCTGCTCTGCATGGCTTCTGCCTGGGTTCCCACAGCCCTACATGCACAGAGAGGCGGGACCCCTGGCTCTCGCCTACCTCTTTGGGGCAATCCATTGAGGAACCCCAGGTAGGTGGGTGCAGCCTACATCATTTGGGCAATCGATCACAGGGCTCCAGCACTGTGAGAGGGCACAGGTCAAGCTTGCAAATTTCGTGCACCGGGCCACTAATGTGTATATAACATACTGTATCTACATGTCTACACACACACACACACACACACACACACACACACACACACACACTCACACTATAGTATATGTGTGGAATAAAAAATGTAGCTGGCCAAACCGCCAACGTTCTCTGACAGAAATTGAAGAAGTGCCACCCAGGGAGGAAATAAGTTGGCTGTAGCTCTTACTGAAATGCTGTTAACTTATGTATTTTTCTTGTCTTGCATTCTGTACACCATAGACAGATGACCATAAGCACTTGACATTATTATATAGTGTATACTCAAATTTCATTGTTCCACAATGTTCATAAAATTCCCTCCTGGTTTTATGTTAAGTTGCTGATGTTTAACTTCTCTATGTTAAATGTGTTTGTGTTTTATGATTTACAAAAGTAGCTTTTCTGTTATTCAGTATATCCTTGTCTATGTGGGCATTAAGCTTTTGATTTTCTCATTGACTTACAGAGATCCAGGATACACCACCTTGGACAACACGACTCTCTTCCAACCTCATTCCTCAGTATGCTATTGCTGTTCTCAGATCCAACCTTTGGCCTGGAGCATATGCCTTTTGCAATGGCAAGTAAGTGTCTGACAACTTTCAAAGTTATTATTGTGATTATTTAAATTCTGGAAAGTATAAGTTACCCCATGGGATCTTAGGATGTTATAATTTTAACTAATTTTTAGCAAGATCTATTCAAACTTCTGTATTATACAGTAAAGCATCAAATTTAGATTAATCTAGACTTCTGCCTTTTCTGAATTATTTAATGAAGCTAAAATACGGCTTTTCTTCTATAATTATTGGATAATTGAGATTCACTTAATTGAAATCATTCTAAGCAGTATTTAAATTAGTTTAAATCTATCATTTTTTTTGTTGAGTACCTTGATAAAAGATACTTAAAAATATGTATTAGTTAGGCTATCATTTTCAAGAGAATTAGGATGAAGAGGATACTAAATTACCTCACTTCCTTGTGTGTTATGTTTCCATTTCTTACCCAATAATCCAGTGTTAAAAGCTGAGCTGGAGAGCTGAGCTGCTAAACGTCTGATAGTTGTTAACGTAACAACCCAAAAATGAAAAAGAGAGGAAGCACTGGTTTCCTCCCCCACCTCCAGCCTCTGTTCCATTTTTTCCCCACAAAATGGCACGCTGGTGGAAGGTGAGGTGGGACAACACAGATGTGGGTGTCATCTCATTGCCAGGGGAGTTCCTGACATAAGGCTCTTGCAGCTTTATGGATGAGGGGGCCAAGGGGAAGTGGGGGAGAGCTAGGGAAAAGTAGTGGATACTGAGAGTGGGGAAAAGTGTTTTTAAGGGTTTCCCCTTCTCTCCCCTAATATCCCCCCCCCCACCCCCACCCCGCAAGGAGGCCTTAGCAGAGGTATCCTTAGAGCTCTACTGAAGGTCTTTATAGAGACCTAGGAGTGACAGCATCTGAGCTAGGAATGGAAATATGTGAAGAGCATGACAGGCCAGAGGGGCCAGAGTCCTCTGAGACTGTGCTGACTGCACCAAATCTGGAGCAGAGAGGGAATTGTCCCGTGAGGCACGCCGGGAAAAGCCTTTGTGCTCGCCCATGGTTGGGCGGGGAAATCACATTAGGTCTTCAAACACAATCTCACTCCTCCCCTAGCCAAGTGTTTGCTAGGTTGGGAACTTTTTTTTTTATTTTTTAAAATATATTTTATTGATTTTTTTACAGAGAGGAAGAGAGGGATAGAGAGTTAGAAACATCGATGAGAGAGAAACATCGATCAGCTGCCTCCTGCACAGCCCCTACTGGGGATGTGCCCGCAACCAAGGCACATGCCCTTGACCAGAATCGAACTTGGGACCTTTCAGTCCGCAGGCCGAAGCTCTATCCACTGAGCCAAACCGGTTTTGGCTAGGTTGGAAACTTAAAAAAAAAAAAGTATTTTCTTTTATTGATTTCATAGAGGAAGAGAGAGAAAGAGAGAAACATCAATAAGAGGGAATCATTGATCAGCTGCCTCCTGCACGCCCCCTATTGGGGACCAAGCCCACAACCAGTGCATGTGCCTTGACCAGACTAGGTTGGAAACTTAAATTCTTCCTAACTTTATGAAAGTGGTAACTTCCCTGCCCCTTCCCCCACAAATAATTAAATGATCAAAGGCTGTGGTTTGGGTGTAGGGTATCTTCTGACAGGGTCAGGCCCCATGGTTTTCTTAACCAGTTCGGAGCATAGAAATGCCTTGAGCTGGAAGAATCATTTAGGGATAGTTCATCTCTAATGCATTTTAAATATATTGTTTTGAAATTGTGGGACCATGACATTTTAAGTACTTTATCATTACAGGAGAGGAAGGTCAACTTCTCTTACTTAAAAAAAAGAATAAATAAATAAAATGACCATCTACATTTTTTTTAACTTATAGAAAGTTTGAAAATCTCTACATAGGCTGGGGTCATAAATATAGTCCAGACAGCTATGCACCTCCAGTCCCACCACCAGTTAGTCAAGAATACCCCGGCGGACCAGACATTACGGAATCGGATGACCCCAGCGTGGAAGAGGAGCGCGCCTTCAGAGAAGCACAGGAAGCCGCTGCGCTTGCAGCCGAGGAAAACGAAGAAAGCGAGGACGATGAAGATGATTATGACTAACGAAAATAAAACTGGGTGCTCACTTCAGCAGCATACATACTGAATAAAACGGACCCCATTTTATGAGGCTGATGCATACATACTATTCATGTGCAAAATGCCATTCCCTGAAATTATCAAATTTGGAATTTTATGTTTGGAATTATTATTATAAACTTATAGAAAGATGCTCAGTGGATTCTGCAGAGGCTAAATGACATGTTCTACATTACTATTACTGATAGCCACAACCAATGGAATATGTGCTGCTTTTCTTTTTTTTCAAGTCTCAGGTTTAATTTCTAATATGGCAAACATGAAAATATATAACCCACAAAAGCTTCTTGGGTTCTTCAATATATTTTTGGGCATCAAGGGAAAAAATATTAAGTTTATAATCCCATCACCTGCTCAACGCCTCTGGGAACACTCAAATTTTAACCTTTTTACTTGTTACTTTTTTTTGTTTTGTTTTGTTTTGGTTTAAAGTATTACATGTCTCCTTCTTCCCCCAATTAACCCTCCCCACCACCACTCCACTTCCCCCCTAAGATACTTGTTACTTCATAAAGAACTTGCTCAGTGTTTTTCATCTAATAGAAATTGGTTTGCAGAGATGGCTTGCTGAGATATTCAGAGTCGTCAGAGTAATGTTTTCTATCACTTCTCTCAAACTGTATTTTCATTCACTAAAAATGTATTTTTAAGTCCTGTATGTACTAGGCCCCCTGAGGCTACTGACTGGCAGTCGCAGGTTACTGAGCTATAGACACTGCTGATCAAATACTTCGAAGGTGCAATTACCCAGACTTGTGCAGTTCAGGAAGCACTTCCAAGAGGTGGAGAACAAAGGTAGGACGGTCCTAGGCAGCACCAACTATATTTGGTGAAGGACTCGGGCTAAAAGGAGTGGCACTTGGAGAGCGGTGAGAGATGAGCCTGGAGAGGTCCAGTTGTGTGGGATGTTCAGATTTTGTACAGGAACAGGGAAAAGGACTCAACAAGGAAGTGACAAAATCGTAGTTGTAAGAAACATTTGGCTTCTGTGTGGAAGGATGACAGAGAATCAAGACAGGGAGCTGAGTTAGCAGGTTACCTAGGTAAGAAGTAATGATGGCATGAAAAAGGATACCTGCATGGGAATATGAGGGAGAAACCTGGTCACTAGTCTGAAGGACAAAATATTAGAAAGGATTATTTCTAGAATTTTCCAATTGGCAATATTATGCATTCTTGGAATGCAACTTTCAGTACTCAATGGTGTAGTGAATATTTATAAGACTTCATCAAGTAGATTCTTGTTCATTTCTCATGGTATAACAGGCAGTTGTTTAATATCCATTTCCTTATCTACCCCGATTTCCTTTTGAGAAACTGCCTCTGTCCAGGCCATACACCATGGCATCAGATTCCTCTTGGGAATCTGAATTGTGAGCAGAGACATTCTACCTCGGCCCTCGCTATGAATCAGACCACAGTCGAGGAGTTGCCTTGGTTCCAGCAAAGTGCCCTGGTTACCAACGGATTCTGTGAGCTTCTCCGACCTTCTCTCAATGGATTTCCTTCTGCTTCAGTTGGCCAGAGTAGGATTCTTTTTTTGTAACCTTACGCAGCACAGCCAACATGAATCTGAAAGTTTCTTTCCTACAGGACACATTAAACACAAGACTCTAAATCTCATTTAGGTACGAGTGTGAATATTGAACAAAAGCAAATCCCTCTTTTCAGAGAGACACCTGTTAAATATTAAGATATTTCTAGGAGATAAGGAGGGAATTTCATGAAATGTTTTACAACAGGAGAAAACAATGTTTTAATTAAATTTATTGGGGTGATATTGATTACATTTATTGGGGTGACACTGATTAATATGATATAGATTTCAAGTGTAATTTCTATGATACATGATCTGTATATTACATTGTGTGCTCAATACCCAAACATTGGTAAGAATTTGAAAGTGAGACAGCCTGGGATTATGAAAAATTTCCAGGCAAATTACTAATCTTGCAGTTTCAGGTTCCTCACACACTAATAACACTTGTTTCACAAAACTATTTTGAAGATTAAACTAATTAATACATGGAAAATACTGAACATACTTAACATAAGAACCCAATAAATACTAAATATGACTATAATACAAAATCAGTTTCTGAAACATGGGTAAGAAATACAAAAACCACAATGCAAACAAGATATTTTTCTAAATAATTTCTAAACAGTGAATCACTAATGATATATTTAGACATTTTAGAAATTAAAAGTTGAGTATTTAGAGAATTCACAGGTTCATAAGTTGCATTAAAGACTTAATATCTGAATTTGGGACATTAAGTTTCACACTCACTGAAATGCTTAATTCTTCAAGGAATCTTCTCGGCTGTAAACACTTGAGATGCTTGTCTCCTTGCCTTGAAACAAAATTTTTAAAAAATTGTTAATTGTAAGCAGAAATCAATTAGACTACATATTCTGATATTTTAAAAATAATTTCAAAATAATGAAAATTTCTTAAGTAAAATTACAATTTTGAATTTAAGAAATTAGAAAGAAATGTTTTAAAATCCAAGCCATAAAAAAAATTAAATTCCAGATAAAGACTTACAATTTTCTCCTCTGCAGTAAGAACGCCCTCTACTGCCACTATCTGGTACTGCTTATGCTTTAAATTTCCCACAAATTTCCTAAGTTGCTTGAGACTGTTAGCCTCCATGTCTTGCTTCAATAGTTTCTGCATTTCTCGAGAAGGACATCCAGGATCAAATATTAGTAAACACAACGTTCGGTTTTTTCTCTCTTCAATTCCAACAACTGTTCGACTATGACCTATCAAAAAATAAAGTAACAGCTATATGTATATGATTTACTTAAAGCCATACATATAGATATAAGTAACTATGTACATACACACACAATGAATACTCTCTTTGTGTATATGGAGTGTGTGGAAGGGTGTTTTGACTATAAATATAGTTAATCCCTCTGACATAGTTATCTGACCTCTCTCATTCCTAAGACACAAGCGTTCAGTTCTACTTCCCAACTTTCAGTTCACCTTTGTTTAATTTTCCTTCTCTATGGCTTCATTACAAACAATTTTCTACTGCGTCACACATTTTAGTTTTTCTTTCCTAATCCCTTGATTGTTCCTATTCAAAGGTCTCAAATGAAAGGACTTGAAAATTATCTACCATAAAACAAAACTTTAGTGGTTCTAAAAGGTAAACAAAAATAAATGTATACTATATACTAGAATTTCAAAAGTTAAGCTTTACAGCTTGTATTCCTAAATGACGAAATTCCTAACAATTACTTTCCCTCATTCCTGTCGATCTAGACCACCCATTCAACATTTGTCAAACAGGCCTGTGCCAGCCACTAGTCCAGGAATCAGTGGTACAGAGCGAGCAAATCAAACATTCCTGCCTTTAGGAACTCACATTACAATAAGAAGAAATATTCCATAAGCAAGATAAGTAAGGAAAGTATCTATTATACTATATTTGAAAAAATAAAGCAGGAAAAGGAGTAAGAAATGCCTTGGTGGGATCCTGGAATGATGAGATTAACTTTTAGATAAGGTGGTTAGGGAAGGCCTCACTGAAGTGACACGTGGGTAGAGACCTGAAAAGAATAAGGGGTAAACAATAAAGGAAGAGTGAGCCGGCAGCCCTGAAGATACCAGGGATCTCATTCCAGGAATAGACGGAAATGAAGATGTAACTATGAAAATCAGACAAGCTACTGTCACCATACTCCCCACAGCCAGACTTTTAACCTGTCCTAGAGCAAAAAGATATGCCTGTAAGTTAGAGTTATGATCTCTGAGTTGCACTAACCTTGATGTTGCAGATAGATGGGAGGTTTAGAGGTACACACTACTTTCGGGCCCCCTTCCCTCTCGGTTGAGTAATAGTTCAGTATCCATTCAAACAGGCGGGGGTGCGTACCCAAAGGCCCGGTTGACTTGTGAAAATCCACAATGCGGCACCTAGAAAAAATGGACGGAAGAAATTATTTAGAGAATATTTTAAAAATCATTTTCATCAGTGGAGTTAATAATACAAAATCATTCTTAGTTTAAAACTAATCCTATCTTATTCTAAGAAGAAAACAAATGCAAATTTTGTTGTTTATATAAAAAACTCACTTTATGAGGAAATAACTTCATAATAAAGTTGATGACTGATAATTAAAGTTAAAAAGATTTTCTGACATGCAAAATCCCCATGAATAAATGAGATTTTTAAAAATCACCTACATAAAACCTGAGACACAGCTTTTATTCTAAAGCCCCGGACCCTCATAAGCAATTGGAAGCCAACTTTTAATTTTAATTCCTTGACAACCATTCACATTCATCAAAAATATCCTGAGTATTTTTCCTGTCAGCTCTCTCAAATTCCAATAATAAATAAGAGAAGAATACCTGTAAAAGTCAGAAAAACCTGTGTACCCCATCTATACACCTATCTATCGATCTCCTATTGGGCACCAGACTCCGGTTGTGGTATTGGTTCCTCAAGAGGAAGTCAACCTTGAATAAACAAAATTATTTTAACTAGTGTGTACACTTTTCAACTATTTTAAAAAGTCAGGTATAAACAAAAGCACTTTATATACTTTATTTTCACCTTAAAGTATAGCATAGATATCCTGTCCTTGTGTCTGTTGGCAATAAAATTTCCAAACTGTAATGGTTGTCATTTTAACTTCAGTAAGTTTAATATTGGTAACTTTCAAATTGATTAGTACTGAGTTTTAAATGTTGAAATCAAGTTTTGGATAGTTGTTAAAAAGTAGAAACGATTTTGGGTTAGCAGTTGACTGCATTTATATTTAAGAATGTAAATAGAACCCAACAGAGTATAATTCATGGAGTGCAAAAGGAAGTCGTTTAAATAACTAGCAAATAAATCCAGGTTCATTAATAAAAAGGCTTTATTCGAAGGAAGACTAAACTATTTCAGGTACCAAGAAAAAGTTGGATACACCATGTATTTTAGATGAAAAATTTTTCCTTAAAACTTTTATAAAAGCTCAAACATGATGTAGTACATATAATATGAATGTGAGAACAGACTGGCATAAAGGAAAAAAAAGAAAGAAAATTTAGAGGGTAAAACTAGTCCCTTCAATTTAAATCATTTAAGTTATACACACATTCGTTATTTAAAAAATTTTAAATGTTTTTAGCAATAAATCTACCAACTAATAAGGTAGAAATAGTGTAAAACACTGGATAAATTACCTAGGAACAAACATAAAAGAAATTATGGAGTCATGAAGCTTAAGGCAAATTTTCCATTAAAGATGATCAAAGGCACTTATCTCTGTTTCCTCTTGAAAGCCCAACAACAAAATACTGAAGAAGGAAATGATAAACACCCAAGGACAGAGAGAATGGGGACAGATAAGAACCAGTCACATAATTCTGAAAAATGGAAAACTGAAAGCTTAGAGGCCAAGGTATTGGGGAGAGTAGTAATGGGGACAACAATATAAGATTAATTGGAAGTTTGCATAAAGAAGGCAAATCACTTTTCACTTCCCCCAACACACACACACACACACACACACACACACACACACACACACACACACACGCAGGAGCTGTAGCAGAAAAGTGGAGAACTCTTCTCTGAATGGCCTCTGCGAAAAGATGTCACTCTATACTGATATTTAAGAGTTCCCCAACCAAATAGCAAGTTTCCACCTAAGATTCCTTAAATGAAGTCTGTTACTCTGCAAACCTCATGCAATCTCACAAAACCTCATTCCTCACTCTAGGAATAGACAGTTAAGTATTTACAAAAGGTAGAATGTCTTCAAAATGAAAAAGACTAAAATAAATAGATATGGGAAAAAATTAACATGGAGGAAACAAAAGTTTAAGGAACAGAAAGATACAAAGTGTTGGGGGTGGGGAAATTTGCAACCAAATAAGAATAGTAGGCGTCTATGAAACTTTATCCCTTAGAATTAAAAACATGATTGCTAAAGTAACATTTCAATAGAGTATTTGGGAGATAAAGTTGAGTGAATCTAAACAGTAAAACAGCCCTAACCGGTTTGGCTCAGTGGATAGAGCTTCGGCCTGCAGACTGAAAGGTCCTAAGTTCGATTCCGGTCAAGGCATGTACCTCGGTTGCGGGCACATCCCCAGTAGGAGATGTGCAGGAGGCAGCTGATCAATGTTTCTCTCTCATCGATGTTTCTAACTCTTTATCCCTCTCCCTTCCTTTCTGTAAAAAAATAAAAATATATTAAAAAAATAAACAGTAAAAAAAAAGCAAATATTAAAAAAAAAAGACACGACCAATAAACTTCCAGTTAACCTCTGAGCTCTTACTACATTCCAATAACAGTTCCAAGCACTTTATTATTATCTCATTTAATTATCACTAAAACTCCTTGAAGGAGTTACTATTTATATGTCCCTTTATCAATGGTAGAACTAGGATAGAAATACTCTGTAAATAAGATAAATAAGGGGACAGACAAATGAAATCACAGAGCAGATAGATAGGAAAGCCAGAAGCAATTACAGGCATCTGACTCCAAAGTCCAAGCTTTTAAACACCATACTGAGATCTTAGAATCCACCATTCCAGATTAGAAAGAAAATCAAATCTCCACACAATGTATCCAAATCCCACAGTCCAGGTGAAATCTCATAATATCAGGGCTAACACAAGATGCAAAAAACTTCCAAATAAATAAAATCAGCAATAATAGTTATATAGTCTTGATGTAAACTCTAACTTTAACTTAATAAAAACTGAGATATAACCATGTTAGAAGGATTGAGAGTGAACAGGTGGGAAATGTAAGGGGAATGCAGTAGACAATGTCTAAAACTGAAAAAAAGCCACGAAAGCATATTATTAAAAAATGGGGATGACAGCTGCTTCCAATAAAGACTAGATAATAGAAAGGAGCATGAGATAGGAAATGAATTTAATATTTCATATAAACCTTTTAGTGCTACTTAAATTTTAATTTTTAACTACTGCTTTGATAGAAAAACAAAAACAACTCAGAAAAAGTAAGACCTCCCAGATGTGACAATAATATCAACTTGGCTTCTTAGGTACATACTTTACCCTCAGGGAGGTCAAAAGTGTATATATTTCACACGCTCCGATCCAGGCCTTTGTTCCCTGGAGCCTGTCATTAAGTTGAGTGGCACCCTGAGGATCAAAACCTTCTCTCCATGCATCTTCAATCATAGACTGGATTTTTGGAATACAAGGAACTGCCATATCTAAAATCGACAAGAAAACCTGTTACATGGCAGTTACTAAAGTGTTGAATAATATCATTTATCACTTACTCTAGAGGAGTCTAAGACAGTTATTGCTAACATCTTTTATTGTATCAGTTTCGCTTCCTCCAACCAGAATTCAGGTTTTTAATGTAAATATCCCAAAGTATTTCTTCCTCAAAGCCATTAAGTGTCCCTACTATACATAATTTCATGTACAGCAGTACTCCAGAGGAGCCTACAGCGGTTTCTAAGAGAGTTATTCTTGACATTTTCTATTGTATCAGTTTCTCTAAATGTAAATATCCAAAATACTTCTTCATTAAAGCTACTGACTTTGCCCACTATATTTTAATTCATCCCGTGTCCTATAAGATGACGAATTCAAAGTACTGTACTTCACACCTTTCAAGCAATCATGGTAAGTATCATTTTGTAATAATGACGACAGTAGCATTTGGAAATTTCTGTAACCACAGCCCCAGCCTTTGTCACCAGAAGAGGAGTGAAAGTGGTCCACTGCTGCAGAGAGCCACACCCGCCGGACCTCGGGGGCAGCATTCTGATAATGCTGAAGAAGTGCTTCGATAATCCCTACGGCAGAAGAGAGGTTGAGAAGGTTTAGAAGAATTAGTTACTTCCTAAGGCTGCCCAATATATTTCTATTATCAATCTGTCCCTCAAGCGCTACATCTAAATTTTGTCAATCCACCTCTTTTTTTCTTTAACCTTAGTTATATAATCTTAGTTCATGTCCTGCTTTGCCATTAAATCAATCACTTCTAAACTTCAAGACAGCTTATCAAAACGACATAGTATATTTTAGGGTTGGGTTCTGTAATCTTTTACATTTATATTTATTTTAAATTACATATAAATTAGTGGTTCTTTAGTAACTTAAATATATGAACACTTAGAAATTAAAAATAGACGTTTTTAATATTTTCTTACTGTATATCCAATGAATCATATTACATATTTCCTAGGATCTCCTACTTCACATAGAAACCTTTTTACATGGAGACCCTTACAGAGAAGTGTAAGGAAAGAAAGTACAGATTCATCAAATGGTACTAAGATAATAAGCAAAAGGAAATTAAAGTATTGTTATAAAGGGAAAATATTTGATCCATACCTTTTCTTTCTCTTCTCCCTCTTTCTCTCTCACATACACATATGTACAAATAAATTCCAAGTGGATTAAAATAAAAATATGAAAAGCAATTTTTCATAAAATATATAATAAAAAAAACATGATCTCAAAAGATGGGGGAGTTTCTTAAAAATGACTCTTTTTTTTTTAAAGGATATATGTAAGATATGGAAGCAACGCAAGTGCCCATCAACAGATCAGTGGATAAAAAGATGTGGTACAAATATGCAACGGAGTATTACGCAGCCATAAAAAAGAATGAAATCTTACCACTTGTGATAACATGAATGAGCCTGGAGGGTATTATGCTAAGTGAAATAAGTCAGAGAAAGACAAATACCGTATGATTTCACTTGTATGTGGAATCTAAAGAGCAAAATAAATGAACAAAATTGGCACAAACCCATGGATATAGAGAACAGACTAATGACAGAGCGAAAAGGAGTTAGACTCAGTGAAAAGTTGAGGGGATTGAGAAGTACAAATTGGTAGTTATAAAACAGTCATGGGGATGTAAAGTACATCATAGGGAATATATCAGTAATTCATCTAGTCAATAATACTAGAATAGGTAGATACTTCAAATATTTGGAAGACCACTTTGTAAAGTATGACTGTCTAACCGCTATGCTATAAACTTAAAACTAATACAAAGTAACATTAAGTATAAACTGTAACTGAAAAAGAAAATGTAAAAAATAAACATACCACATATGAAATTTAAAGGTAAAATTATAGACTTGAAGAAGACATTTCTACCTCATAAAATCAACAAAGAATTAGAATCCTGATGTGCTTGAAGGACTTGCACAAATAAGAAAAACAATCCAACAGAGAAAAGATAAATGAATGAAATAGGTTATTTCTTGAAGAAACTACCTCAGGAATAAACAAAGAAATGCAAATTATATCATTTCATGCCCTAAAGGCCAAAATTATATAGTGCCACCATACAAAGTGTGAGTGAGAATACAGATGCAAATGTGGATTTTGACCACTTTGGCAAACAATTCCATAATAACTGTATCGAAGTTAAAAAGTTCATTTTCCAAAAAGAGTAAATTAACACAATATAAAAGTGAATTATTTTAGGTGAACTATTTACTGTAAGAACAGAAGTTTAGAACTTTTAAAACAATACATTTAAAAAAATTATTTGAACACAGTCTCACCTTAACCTATATAAATTGTGGATTATGAAAATGAGGCAAAATTCAAGAAATTTTGATTATTACTTCGGTGATACATAGAATATTAAAACCATGATTTTGATGTTTAAGAACTCACCAGAAGTTTTTGTTTTCCCATCATCAATACCAATAGCTAGTGATTCCATCATATCAGCTTTTCTTCTGTGAAATTCAGATGGATGCATTCTTCCACTATTTACTTCTCTCTCCATACTTCGTAGTAGCTGCTGTTTGTACCCTCCAGAATTATCTAAACCATATTGTCGCTATTGAATATAAAACAAATAACTTAATTTTTATGTTCGTTTGCCTCAGTGAGGAAGGAAACGTACCATAATTTCATTTATCTGGAAATGCATTTTGAAACATTTTGGTTTACAGACTTTTATAAAAATCAATTTAAAGATTTTTGTGAAAAATAAATCACGCATACAAAATCCCTGAATTAGTAAAAGCCTTCTCTGTAAACAACCATCATGGCAAGAGACTTGCTTTTCTTGTGGTAGAGAAGCCTGTTTTCCTACTGAAAGTACAAGGCAGATGAGTTCTGAACATACTGATGATTTTTGCAAGGAAACCTGTCAGTACTTGTTATTTGGTTCCCAAGCTAGTCTACAAAGGCTTACTTAATTCATAATTCATTCAGGCATTCATTCTACATAGTAAATGAACTGTTTATGCACAAAGAACAGAGAATCTCAAAATATGTATAAAACAGTCTTCTTGGAAAAAGTTCTGAGATCTAAACAACTAATTTGCAAAGGGAATAACAAATTCCCTTTAATATTGGAAGCTTTTTGGATTTATAATGTGCAAAATTATATAAGGCAAGAAGAGTTGTGAAAAACCAATTTTCTTTTCTCTTCTGAATCCTGGTGGGAAAATAGTTTGCAAGTAAATGAATCACCAATGAGAAAAATAGACAAAATTAGATATTCTAAGGTGAGAATTAAATTTTCTCTCATATTGCCATTTGTGAGATGCCCGAGAAAAAAGTCAGAGGTCAAATAAGTTTGGGAAAATTATGACCCTATCTAATAAAGAGGGAATATGCTAATTGACTGCCACACCCTAAAAGATAGTGGCGCCCACAACCACAAGATGGCGGCACTCAGTTCCCTCAGCCCCGCTGGGGTACGCCTATTTCCCGCCCCCCATTCCCACAGTCCCCTCAGCCCCTCAACCCCCAGGGCTGGCCCAAGGTGCATGTAAGCCTCGGATGGCGGCTGCCCAGCCACCCAGGGCCGCCTGAGGCTCAGGTAACCAGGGCTGACCTAGGCTTGCGCTGCTGGCACTGGCAGCAGCAGAGGTGTGATGGGGCATTGCCTTTCCCTGATCGCTGGGTCGCCTCCCGCCCCTGAGAGCTCCTGGACTGTGAGAGGGGGCAGGCCAGGCTGAGGGACCCCCTCCAGTGAATGAATTTTCATACATCGGGCTTCTAGTATGCACAATAAAAGGATTTGATATGTACTGAAATATTAACCAGTTCTTTTCTTTTTCAATTGCAGCTTACATTAAATATTATTCTGTATTAGTTTCAGGTGTATAACACAGTGGTTAGACAACATACACTTTACAAAGTGTTCCCCCTGATATTTCAAGTATCCACATGGTACCATATATTATGAGTCTTGGTTTCTTAATTTGCCCATCAACTTAACCATGGGTTTGAATCCAAGCTTTTCATTTAATACTGCCTGATCCTGAGCAAGTTAAGCTACTAAGCACTATTTGTCTTTGTTTAAAAAAAAAAAAAAAAAAAAGAGGTTTAATATAATTTCTCCAGAGAATTGAATTGTTGTGAAGAGCTTGGATATGATATGTGAGGTGCTTACCCTAGTACATGACCAGAATGAGTACTTATAAATGGTAGCTGTTAGGAACTATAAAATACATATTAAAAAATATTTAGCATAATAATGAGGACAAAAGCAATAGGCTGAAGTCTTGACAGCATATCTGAAAACTAAGAATTCTACCAAACTGGAATATTAAAATTTAAGTTATAATAATTTATGTACCTGTAACTTCTGAAATTCTTCCCTTTCTTGTCTTGATTCTTCAGATCTCCTTCTGTCTTCTTCTTCTTGAAGGTGGTGAGCCAATTCCAGGTCTCTAGAATATTGGACTCTATCCATGCCTATCAGATATTTTAGTGTTTAGAATAAAATAACTACTGAAATCAAAGCTCATTTATTACTTGTTAATATATATATTTTAAACAGGAGTAAATGCTATTATTTTGCCATTTGTTCATACCTATGATGTTACATAAATTGAAAGTTCAAAGTTAGCAGAACTTAAACTACTTCTGTAAGAGTATAGTTTCCAGCCTTAGCTGGTTTGTCTCAGCATTGACCTGTGGACTCAAGGGTCCCAGGTTCGATTCCAGTCAAGGGCACGTGCTCTGGCTGCGGGTTCAATCCCCAGTGTGGGACATGCAGGAGGCAGCCAATCAACGATTCTCTTTCATCATTGATGTTTCTATCTTTTTATCTACCTCCTTTCCTCTTTGAAATCAATAAAAGTATTTTTTAGAAAAAGCCAAAACCAGTTTGGCTCAGTGGATAGAGCGTTGGCCTGCAGACTGAAAGGTCCCAGGTTTGATCCCGGTCAAGGGCATGTACCTTGGTTGCAGGCATATCCCCAGTAGGGGGTGTTCAAGAGGCAGCTGATCGATGATTCTCTCTCATCGATGTTTCTAACTCTCTATCCCTCTCTCTTCCTCTCTGTAAAAAATCAATAAAACATAAAAAAAAAAAAAGAGTATAGCCTCCATTTAAATAACTATAATAACATTCACTGAGTGTTTAGGTTGAGACAAGAACTTTCCATTTATTATCTCATTTGGCACTTTATAACAACCTTAGGAAGACAGGTACTATTATCTTGTGAAGAAACCCAAACTTAGAGAAATTAAGCCACATCCTTCATTTGGTGTTCCTTATTAACACAAATCAGATAAACTGGTTTAAAAAAAATCTGGGAAGGAAATAATAAAGAGCATAAAAATATGTTTGCAAAATACAGGTATGAGATCATACAGGTATTAATTATAGTACAGCATCTTGCCCTGTTTCCCCTCTATCCAGTGATCCACAGATCCACTAGCTAGTGGCTTCTGGCCAGTATCTTATCTTCCTGATCTTCCAATTTGGTGGTTTAATAATGTATTTTACTATTCTTTCTTTCCTTCCAAATCTCTCAAGCCTCCACTATCTCTTCCTATTTGGTCCCCACTTTTTTTTAAATGTATTTTTATTGATTTTGTACAGAGAGGAAGGGAGAGAGAGAGTTAGAAACATCGATGAGAGAGAGTCATCGATCAGCTGCCTCTTGCACACCCCCTACTGGGGATATGCCTGCAACCAAGGTACATGCCCGTGACCGGAATCGAACCTGGGACCCTTCAGTCCCCAAGCCAACGCTCTATCCATTGAGCCAAACCGGTCTTGGCTGGTCCCCACTTCTATTGTTGGAGATATGCAATTTACAACAGACTTGTGGTGTAATTCTGAGGTTATCTACAGTGATACTAGTATATTCAGACCATATCTTTCTCTCATTACCCATTACAGGCTTACAGAATAATTTATGCAACAATACAAAGCATATCCATAAACAAAGTAAGAATTATCTGGTACTCAGCTCCAGAGATTCTTCTTCCACAACAGTTAGTCAAGAACAGAGTAGAACACTGTTCCATCTTTTGTACACTAATTCTCATCTTGGGATTAGTCTTGAGTGAGCAGGTAAAGCTGTCTGTTTATGGAGATAACTGACTGGTACTAGGATCAATGACACTGGACATAGATACCCTACATTAACAGGTGGTATCTATGTACCTTAAGAAATTAAAATTTATTAAAATACAATTAGTTTCTCTTAGAGTTTACGTTATATTTTGTCTCAGTAGGACTGTACAACTCGTATAGGGTATTTCCACTTCTAAGTCACCATAGTGATTACTAAGTAATATCACATTAAAAAATATAGGGCACAGAGGAAAATTTTCATGTCACTTATAAAATTAGTAAGTGGTGATGTAAAAAGTTGGGCTAGCCACTAGAAAGGAAAAACTTTTTAGTCACATAGTTCAAATTCTTTTTAAAAATTGTGCTATATGGCAGCCTACTTCACTAACAATTCTGACGGACCCAATGTTTAATTCAGTTACTTCTAGCTGCTGAAAAAATGGCTTCAACTTACAAATCAAATTGATTTTGAAAACTGCCTAATATTTAATTGTCTTCTAAATATTAATACTCTGTTGAAACCAGTTTGGCTCAGTGGATAGAGTGTCAGTCTGCGGACTGAAGGGTACCAGGTTCGATTCCGGTCAAGGGCATGTACATTGGTTGCGGGCACATTCCTGGTAGGGGGTGTGCAGAAGGCAGCTGGTCGATGATTCTCTCTCATCGATGTGTTTAGCTATCTATCCCTCTCCCTTCCTCTCTGTGAAAAAAATCAATAAAATATGTTTAAAAAGATAAATAAAAATAAATAAATAAATAAATAAATAAATAAATATTAGTACTCTGGGGCAAAACCCTGGATGCACACCTATAGTTCAGTTGTTGGTCATAACAGTTTATTCTTCACAATTTTTCTACCAAAAAACAAAACAAAACACTTTTTAGCCCAGCCAGCGTGGCTCAGTGGTTGAGCATTGACGTACAAATGAGGCGCTCACACTTCGATACCTGGTCAGGGTACATGCCCAGGTTGTGAGCTCAGTCCCCTGGGTGGGTGTGCAAAAGGCAGTCAATCAATGATTCTTTCTCATCGTTGATGTTTCTGTCTCTCCTCTTTCTCCCTTGAAATCAATAAAGATATATTAAAAACGAACAAAAAAACCCACCCCAACTTCTTTTAAAAAGTTGGAACTTTTTAAAGGGACAGCCTTATTTTTGACCAGTATGATTTTTTTCTCTATAGATCACTAATCTAAAAATTAGATATGTGTCCTAGGAAGTGGAAATTAAATAATGACATTCTTATTTTTAAACATATAAACATACCTTGTCTAAAGCTGCTTTCTTCCAAATGCAAGTCAACATGTTCCTGGAGAATATGGTAATTTGTACAGATGAGTCCACACATAGGGCAGTCATATAATGGTTGATCACAGTCTGTATTAAAGATATAATTAAATTGGTTTTATTTAGGAAACTTTTAGATTTTCACCCGAAGTCAAAGGCTGTTTGGTTTCTTGCCAAAAAATTTCTTCAAGTGTTTGAATGTTCCTCCTATGTGAGAGTTTGAAGCCACACTTTAAATGATATAAATTTACAGACATGCTTCAGCATACTCTCTTTTCCTACTTCTATTTTCTTTTAACCTGCACATAAGAGAAAATTTAAAAACAAAAAGGAAAAATTTGATGTAGGATATGCATATTCAGTTTAGGAAAGAATTTGGAAATGTTAATTATATTATCAGTATGATAATAATAATAAAGCTATAGAGCCTACTAAGATAAGCTAAAACAGTATTTTTCTTTCAGTTTTGAGTTATAACTGACATACAGTGCTGTATAAGTTTAGGGTATATAGCATAATGACCTGAGTTACACATGTTGTGAAATGATTACCAAAATAAATTTAGTTAGTATCCGTATCATATAGAAATGAGAAAAAAAAATGTTCCCCCATGTGATGAGAACTTTTAGGATTTACTCTTACACTTCAGCAACTTTTAAATATACCATGCAGCAGTGTTAGCTCTAGTCATCATATTGTATATCACATCCTCAGAGCTCATTAAATATCATATAACTGAAAGTTTGTACCAATTTCCCCACCATTTACCTCTGCCGCTAGTAATCACAAATTGAATATCTTTTTCTGAGTGTTTTATTTTTTAGATTCCATATATTATATATATAAGTGAGACTATACAGTATTTGTTTTTTTATGTCTGATTCATTTCATTTACAATAACGCCATCAAGGTCCACCCAGATAGATACAAACGGCAGGATTTCCTTTTCATGGCTAATATCCTTCTGTATATATAAGGTGTCCATAAAAAATGTATACACACTCTGAATAATTATAAAGGCAGTGTTAAAATACAACTCATGCCCTAGCGGAATTGGCTCAGTAGCTGCAGCGTCAGCCCTCAGATTTAAGGGTCCTGGGTTCAATTACAATCAAGGAGAGTTACAGGCTTGATCCTCGGTCAGAGAGCACACGTGGAGGTAACCAATCAATGTGTCTCTCACATATTTGTTTCTTTCTCTCTGTCTCTCCCTCTCCCTTCTACTCTCTAAAAATCAATGGAAAAATATCCTCAGGTGAGGATTAACAGTAAAAGATGCTCATCACACTTTACTAGGGACTTACAAATTAAAATAAGATACTACTACACACATTAGCATGGCCAAAATCTGGAACATGGAAAACAAACATCAAATGCTGGCAAGAACTGAAACCATAGTATGTTTTCTGATCACAATTAAATCAAACTAGAACTCAATAACAAAAAATCAGTCTGAAACAGTCCAGATGCCATTCAGTTGATGTTGTCTTTCTCTTCAAAAAGGTAATAAAATGACTCTCAGTGGAGCCAAAACATTTATTATCTTCATCTATATTCTTTCCCATTATTGAATTGTATTGTACTGCAACGATTGCAAATAAACAATGCTATAGATATAGACTGATTTTTGAAACAGTAATCTGAATACAAATTGACTTTTAGGGCACCACATGTTAACTGGAACTAACATTAGTTGTTACTATATAAAATGAAACTTTACCTTTTACCGGAGTATCTAAAAGATTGGCATGTTTTGTTTTCACATGAGTTTCCATATCTTGAGGACAATCTTCTATTTTCCCACAGAATGGACATTCAGGAGGACTATACACTGTGCCATAAATTGGTCCTTTTATTTTGGGTAGGTCACCCTGTTTTTCCTTACTTCCCGGGAATTTTCTAGATTCAGTCAAGTTCTCTGAATAAAAGGCTTTATGTTCTAAAGTGCCATCCTTTGGCTGGCTTTGAGCTGAAATGTTTGGGTGGTTAGATGCACAGGGAGAATGAACTTCCATTCTACTCTGCTGGGCGCTGTCCTTCCTGTTATCTGAAGTTCTATGGTGTATGGGATTGATCCTCTCAAAGTTTCTTCCTAATTCCTTCTGTTCAAAATGAGCGGTTTCAATATGGAAACACATTTCATCATAATTCACACCTGACAGTTTGCAAAATGGACATATAACTTCATTTTCCATGTGAGCAATGAGGAGGTGAGCCTGCATGTCTGGTTCTGAGGTTACGCTTTCACCACAAATGTCACAAGAAAGCATGGTACACTCGGCAGCTAGAAAAGAACACAATGTTATTTTAAGTTAGAGAATAGGAGTTGAAAATAAAAATGCATTTTATAAAATGATTTGGAACAATTAAGTGTATCTAAAACTGGACTATTTAGGTGAAGACATTTTCAGTGTACTTACTGGTCCTCAAATATACAAACTTATTAATATAAATCTCAACCAAAATTTTCCTGTGTTTCTATTTAACGAGTCTAGTAAAACAAAGGCAATAATAATAATGAAAATTAAAATAATTTTTCAGCTATTTCAAAAAGTTTGGTCTGAGGTAGAGAGAAAATAACATTTTAAAAATAGTCCAGGGAAGCCCTAACTGGTTTGGTTCAGTGGATGGAGTGTTGGCCTGCAGACTGAAGAAGTCCTAGGTTCGATTCAGGTCAAGGTCATGTACCTTGGTTTGGGCACATCCCCAATAGGGGGCGTGCAGGAGGCGGCTGATCAATGTTTCTCTTTGATGTTACTATAATAACTCTATCATTCTCCTTTCCTCTCTGTAAAAAATCAATAAAATATATATTTTTTAAAAATTGTCCAGGGAAGATAAATCAGGTAAGAGAAAACAAGGAAGCCTCATCAAGATGTATCTGAATACAGAAACTTAAAGTTGTTAACTGGGGAGGGTAAATAAACACATCTTAACAACGGCAGGTGACAGTTAAAAAGCTTAATGTATTTCAAGCTGGTTTAAGTGTCACTATGATTCTACACGGAGTAAACCCGAGCTCAGCTATGTCACCACACCAGGAAACGGTTAGCCTGAGTGCTAAGCCAGTCAGGCTCCGGGGCTGTTCCCTCAATCTGAAGAACAGAAACCGGCTGCGCAGAGCAGAAAGGAGACTGACTCCAGAGTCTAGAGAACCGGATCATAATCTCTGGTTTCATAACTGTAGGGAAAACATCTCACCTCTTGGAGATTCGGTGTATAATCTGCACTACATCCGCAGTCCCTTTTGAGTTCTGTGGGCTAATCAAGCACTAGCTACCGACGAGTGGTGCTTTTGTTAAGAAATAACTTTTTGAAAAGCAGTCACCGCCACCACCTTCCTACTACAGGCTATCATTCAGCTATGAACTATTTAAATGAAAACAGGAAAAGAAAAATAAGGAAACAACCCCCATCCTTTAAATAGACGTAGTTTTATAAGCACTTCCTATGCTGTCCTTATTTTTCTCATCTCCCTCCTGACAAGTGAAAGCAGTTCCTGGTTTTAGAAGGAATCCCCTCTAACCCTTCGGGGGGAGAAAGTCACACCCGAGTTTCTCTCCCCGTGGCCGGGACCCGGCCTTCCGTCACCATGGAGACACGCTGGGGGGGTGGGGGGTGGGCAGAGCTGGGGCGGCCGGGGCCGCGTCTCCCCGGGTTCGCGCCCTCGGCCCGCGCCGGGATCGAAGCCCCTCGGACACTGACCGGGCCGCGCTCTGCGCCTGGGAAATGGAAGCTGGGACCCTCGGTACCTACCGCCGGCGCGGCGCCCCGGCCGCGGCCACACCGCCCCGGGCTGGGCTTCCACTTCGGGTCCCGCAGGTGGGACCGGCCGCCCGCAGAGGAGCGGGCCCGGCGTCGATTCGCTTTCCCGGCCCCAGAGACGTAGGCAGGTGGCTCTCTCCGCCCAGCGATCCGCAGTGAACCGAGGAAAGGACCTGCGGCCCCAGAAGCTTTCAGTTTCCAGCATCACATTCAAAAAGCTGGCCTCCGCCCCCGGAAGGGGAGGACTCCCAGAATGCACCGCTCCACGCCCGGCTGAGGTGCAGTGCATTCTGGAAGTTGTAGTCTTACCCCCTCCTCCCCGCAGCATCAGGACATCTAACGAAATGGGAGAGACTAGTATTTTCGGTTCTTATAAGTGCATTTCTAGTAGCACATGATCTCAAGCATCTAGGGGAAATGATGAACAACATAGACTGATGAAGGAGAACAGACCCGGAGACAAGGAAGCATCAATCAGACCTCAGAGGGAAGGTAGGGGAGGGTGGGAATAATGGGGAGAGATCAACCAAAGGACTTATGTGCATGCATATGAATGAGCCTAACCAGTGGTCACAGACAACAGGGGGGTGAGGGCATGCATGGGGATGGGTTTCGGATGGGAATGGGGGATGAGGACAAATATGTGATAGCTTAATTGATAAAGAAATCAAAATATCCTAAGAAAGAAAGAAAGAAAGAAAGAAAGAAAGAAAGAAAGAAAGAAAGAAAGAAAGAAAGAAAGAAAGAAAGAAAGAAAGAAAGAAAGAAAGAAAGAAAAAAAGGGGAGAGACTAGGCTCTGACATCTTTCTGAATGAAAGGGCGGGCCCTAGAGCACTGCAGGAGTCCACAGAGTGAGTATTAAAATGCTACCAGATGTCACATTCCAAACTGCGCTCTGCAGATAGAAGGTATCTGAGACAAGTTCTTGCCTCAAGGTTATAAGAGCGCATGTATAAAAAAAACAAAAAACGGTTTGGAATTAAGGAAAAAAATTACAATAGCAGGAACAGAGCACTGGAGGATTACCTGGAAAACAAGAGCTTCTTAGGGGCAGGAATTGTGTATGTGTGTGTGTGTTTAAATCTTGTATATTCCGTGCCTGGTATTGCGTCTGGAAAAGTCTGTTTTCAATACTGTTTGTTGAAAGGCAGGATGGTTTACCAGGCTATTCAAAATGTGTTATATTAATTTAGAGTACTTTACCTGGAGTTATTTCATATAACAGTGACTACTGTGTGTGTGTGTGTGTGTGTGTGTGTGTGTGTAAAAAATCCACAGATGTTGTAGAATCCAAAAGTTTATTTTTAAAAAAGTACATTTTATTGATTTTTGCAGAGAGGAAGGGAGAGGGATAAAGGGTTAGAAACATCCATGAGAGAGAACCATCAATCAGCCGCCTCCTGCACGCCTCCTAGTGGGGATGTGCCTGCAACCAAGGTACATACCCTTGACTTGAATTGAACCTGGGACCCTTCAGATCAACGCCCTATCCACTGAGCAACACCAGTTAGGGCAGAATCCAAAAGTTTACATGGCAAGTTGAAAAGCTTTAAACAAAGGGGAGCATACAGGAATACTAACGTTAATGCCGCTGCAGAAGGAAAGACCCTCTGTGATGCTCCATGAGGTTATCATTTTTATCTGCGGTGCATACTGTGGCTGCTCCAATATCTAAAACAATGCCTGGCACCCAGGAGGCCCCATGAACACTGCGTTGTGGGATGGATGGGGGGGATGGATGGATGGATGGGAGGGGGAGGGATAAGAAGGAGGGATGGGGAGGAAGATGGAGGGATGATGGATGGGCAGGTGGATGGATGGATGGATGGATGGGAGGGGGAGGGATAAAAAGGAGGGAGGAGGAGGAGGGAGGAGGAGAAAGGATGGGAGGAGGATGGGGAGGAGGATGGAGGGATGATGGATGGGCAGATGGATGGATGGATAGATGGGAGGATGGATGGATGGATGGATGGGGGAATGGATGGATGGATGGATTGGGGGATGGATGGGGGAATGGATGGATGGATGGGGGGATGGATGGATGGATGGGAGGGGGAGGGATAAAAAGGAGGGATGGGAGGAGGATGGAGGTATGATGGATGGGCAGGTGGATGGATAGATGGGGGGATGGATGGATGGATGGGGGGATGGATGGATGGATGGATGGATGGATGGATGGATGGGGAGATGGACAGGCGTACACAGGAGTGAATGATCCCCTGAGAACGCGTCCGGAGCACCTGGGCAGTAGGATCCGCTCTCGCCACAGGGACCTGTGGGTTTAAAACCCCGAATCGGAGCACACCCAGCTGGTCCCCCGGAGCGGGCGGCGGGGCGCTCCTCCCGCCCCGCTGCGGGCCCCGTGCTGCCCGCCGCTGCAAGGGCTTCTGGGAGCCAGGCCGCGGGTCGGGGAGGGGGCGCAGGCCGCCGCCATCTTGCGCTGCGGACCGGGCCGCACCGCTCGACGCCAGGGGCGGAGGGGCGACCCGGCTGTCAGAGCAGCCGCAGCCGCCGGGCCGGGGAGCCGGCGCGGGCAGAGCGCCGTCCATGGGTAAGTCACCGACACCCGGGGGCCTGGGCTCTGGGATCGGCCCGCTGGGAGCCCCTGGTGCCCGCCCCTTTTCCCAGCCGAGGTTCGGACCCGGGCCGCGCCGGGGGCCTCGCCGGTCCGGGGGAGGCGGCGGCGGGGGGGCGCGGACCTCGGAGGGTGTTCTCTAATGCGTCCGCGAAGACGGGACCCCAAAGCCGAGAGACGGGACGGTGATGCCTCCAAAGAAAATGGCTTTGGCACTTACTCTTGAACTTTTTGAACACGCTAAACAGACACACACACACACACACACACACACACACACACACAGACACACACTTCCGACTTGATGTCTCCATGACAACGCTGAATGACTCCCATGCTGCTGGAAAGTCACTTACTTCCTGGTCAATCAGAGGCGGTTCCTTCCTGTAGGATCTTTAAGTCCTGCTTGTTGGGTGTAGGGCTGTGGCCGGCCCACTTGCCCGTTTTGTGCCCATCCTGTGATTTTACTCGCAGGCACCCAAACCCATAGAGATGGAGGCATAGGGTACAAAACATGCCGTTGAATAGGTGTTAGGAACATTTTAGGTGCCAGTTATTTGCCCAAACTCGACACAGGTTTTCAAAAGAGCCGGGTCAAAAAGAAGCTTAGAAGAAATTCCTCCGTTTTGCAACTTCGGAGTGTCTGAAGAGCATTTCTTCTATTTGAAATAACTTGTAGGAAACAGCAGCCTCGAAAGCATAGGATTCGAAATCATTTTCCAGAGAACAAGACAATCCTACAGAATGAGGGACCTTTAGAGGTTACCGTATTCTGTTTAGACTTTACGACCTCTTTTAAACTGCTGTGTAGACTCAGGCAGCAAGTTAGTACTGTAGAAGAAAAGGAAACCAAGGATATGTCAGTGCTGGAGCTAGATTTTATTTGGTTAGCATATTTATGTGAAACAGTTTTAATGTGGTTTCCTAGATTAATGGTCTGTTGTATGTGTTGAGGAGGCACAAGTGATTCAGTTAGATGTGAAGAGAAAATATTAGAACTTCCATTAGTTTACCTTTTAAAACTATCATTTTAAAGTTGTTTTCTATTTGTGAATTTTGTAATGGGATAGTTTATTAGGCTAATATTACATATGTATATAAATAAATATACTGAGGATGAATGTACAAATATGGGGAGGGCAAAGGAGGTTTATAGTTGCTACTATGGAAAATAATACAATAATTAATAATGCAAGAATAAACTGTTTTTGTACTCACAACTGTAAACCTACAGACGTGATAATTAGGTCACTGGTAAAGATAGTGGTGGAGCTAAAGGGAGAGCAGAATGGGCTGAGGATGCTGGAATGATTTATAAAGTACATTGTGTATTTGAATTTAACTCATATATTATGGCAATTAAGGTACATTTATAATCCACCCACATCCTTCTTTATATACTTAATGAATTGATTTCAGAAATAGTGTGTGGCACCAACACATATTTGTCATTAGAAACAACTTATTGTTATTAATAACAATATTTAGCATTGTTCTTTATTTCATATATAAAAATTCTGTCATTAATAAGAACGTAGTCTCTTGGAGGGAAAAAATGGAGATCAGAGTTCATTACTGATCTTCAGCATGAGTTATTGAATTATGTATTCTTTACATTCACTAGGCCTCTAATTATTGAATCAATTTCCAAGTTACAGGAACCATGTGCTCTTACCTACCTTTCTAGCTTTATCTCCCGCTCCTTCTTCCTTATGTTCTCTTATTCAGGCACACTCATTTTTTTACTGTTTTGTGTTTATGCCAGTCTTCTTGAAGAACTGTCAGTGCAGGTATTCCCTCTGTTTGAAATGCTTATTCCTTTCCTTTTATCTTTTCATCTCCTTCCCTGGGAAACTCTTGTTCCTTCTGTAAGAGAGGATAACTGTGAGTACTTTCAGAGCTCCCCAAGGCACCGTCTGTTGCTATGTCTTCTGTGTTCTCACAGGGTTTTAATGCAGATGTTTTAGAGTATTTTACCTCTTACAATATATTTTGCCAGTTGAATAGTCTATTTCTTCCATATCAGGGATGGCGGATAAATGTCAACTTTTTCTTCTCTGTGCTTACTTCATAAGTGCTAATTGATCACAACATTCTCTTTGGTTGGACATGGGTATATTACTAAAATTTATCAGACTAACATTAGAAACACATTAATTATCTCATGTTAAATTCAAGTTGAAACCCCGCATTAGACTCATTTTAATGTGTAATTCCGGGATTGGTTATAATATCAGTAATTTAGTATTTATTTCAGATATCAAAATATCAATGTAATTCTATTATTAAACAGTATTTATAATTGTTTTCCTAAAAGTAAAACTATTATATATTTCAATTATAAAATTTCATATTTATATAAAATAAATGTTTTAAATATGCTTATAAAATGTTTATTAAATGTTAACGTTTAAAATACATTTGTAATAAGACTAATTTCCAAGAAAAATATACAAATATTTCAGTATTTAAAAAGAACGAATTATACTTGTAGGGATGAAATCTGGTATTGTAGTCATGACTCAAGTCATGCCAGTGCGGCCTTAGTTCTTAAGCAGTGGCTAAAGTAAGTGGAAGAAGCCAGACTGCAGTAAGTATTTGTGGTGTGCTTATTGAAGCCTAATGCCAT